AGAAAAAATGGAAATGATTGATGAATCAGGAAATAGAAAATCGCATATGATTATCGATTTGCGATAAATAAGTATTTATGATAAATATAAAATAAGGTTGTTTTTTTTTTCAATATCTGCGCCTATCCAGTAAGGATCATCAGCATCATCAAATATTGGTTATATATAATATAACAATAAAATAGAAAAAATAATATTTTGTTAAAATAGCAAATATTGTGAATGTCCTATTATTATTGAAGATTTCGTATGCATATTACAAAATCTTGAAATAGTACAGATTAGTAATACACAAAATGAATCATTTGCTCACTAGAGCATTTCATTATTGTAAGTGCACACCGTAACAAGGGCGAAAGTTTATGCAATTTAACTTTGAGAATTGCAAAATTTTTGCATATTATAGATTAGACTAACGATAATGTAATATTGTCTGTGAAACTAGTAGCATGACAATATATTTTTATATAAATTATCTTATACTATAATATAGAATGAATTAAATCCTATATAATTTTTAGGATATCTTGTTGATATTTAATGTTTTAACATGTTGATCATAAGCCTTATATTAAGAGGTTTCATCAAAATCGTCAAAAAAAATTCAACAATTAATCACAACTGAAATATAGCCTCAAGTGAAAATCGCTTCTCGTGGGTATTGTTGCATATATAATAAAAATGTCAGCAAATACTTCGAGTACAGTTAATTAGTCATAATTGGATTAGACAACTGGGTTGCCATCCATTCAAAAATCCATATATTAAAGTCATAGCAATCACTGAATCACTGGTCACTGAATGTCCTAATTGTAACAGATTGTAATTAAAAAAAACTAACGAAAAAAACGGCCTGGCCGATCTTACCAAAATCTGATCAGCATGATAACCAACTGATATTTCCAACATAGTGTTTGGATAACATATGGACAAGAAATTTGCTCAATATAGAGAAACAGTTTGGCCGACGGTCGTGGAAAATTAATCAAATTGCGAAAAATGGACTGGCATTTAGATTTTTGAAATCGGTTCAGCTGCTTTTTTTTTTGAGGAAACGTCGACAATGGTCAAACTTGGAGACGATTCTGAATTATTTGAAACTTCTCTTTAGGGAAGAAGAAGGAAAATACTTGTGATATACATTTTTTGAACAGCGATCAAAATTAACCAAGTATTCTATAAGTTGTCGTGATTAAGTTATATTTGCCAAATGTGAAAACTCTGCAAGAAGAAGTAATAAATCTGGCTAATATATCAAACATTCCTCATGAAGTAAGAGCTAATGCTGTAAGAGCTTTTAAAGACTTATTTGATCTTTGGTGTGATCAGAATGCCCAAAAAAAAAACAAAATATTTAATGAAATTAGAAGAAAATGAAATAGTCCTAGCTTGTGTTTCTAGTATTTTAAGTGGAGCAGGATCTAGTGCTTCTAAGGCTTTTAAAAATTTATATAATTATTTGTTTGATAAGAAAGGAAATAGAACACAATATTTAAAAACTCTAGAAAAAGAAGAAATAAATCTATCTAATATGTTCAGTATTCTAGGTGAAGCAGGTAGTAATGCTCCTAAAGCTTTCACAGATTTATAAGATCTTTGGTTTGATGAGCAAGAAATAAAAAACATTATTTAAAAATTCTCGAGAAAGAAGGAATAAATCTATCTAATATGTTTCAGTATCTTTCCTCGGATATTATAATGCTCCAAAAGAATATTTTAATTTCAAATCATATTTGGATCTAGTTTTTTTCAGTAAATTTTATTCAAAGATCAACATATAACTCTCATAATGCTAGTCGTTCACTTATGTTAGTATAAATTTGGTTCACTTAGTTAGTTTGCTACTAACAAAATAAATCATTCTTTTCAACATCAAATTAATATTGTTATAAGTTAGGTTAAGTTAAAGTAAGTTTAGAAAAAATTCTTTGGAAAAGTGTGAGCAAACAAATTTCATCACTTTTTTGTCTGATATAAGTAAAATGATTAGAATGTTTTGAAAACCAAAGATGTAAAACAATAATCTGAGGATTTTTGCGATATCAATAACATACCATATAAAAAGTTAATGACGACAATACCAGATCCGTTAGAATAGGTTGAATCTCATTGAAATATAGCAATACAATGATCCTACATTTATATTTAGGAATCTATCAGGTATGTTAGATACAATCTTGATTCAAGTTTACCGTATTCCTAGAACTTTGAGAGAAACAAGAAAATAATTGCTTTCTGTTAGAATTCAATTAAAGTTCAGTTGCATAACTGATACGAGCAGATAGATGGATATACGAGTAATTAAATTGATTCATGATATTAGTTATAAATCTCGCTTAATTCACAGTTACAAGCATACCGAATTTATTAATTAAATTAATTAAAGAGCACTTAAAATAATTTGCTTAAATAGATGCTAATGGTTCATTATACTTTAGGACGTTTTCATGTATAATGATATACTTATAGTTACTGTTAATTATAAAAATTATTGTTATAATTATAAAAAATATAGTTCAAGAGGATCAGGTTTTTTTAAATATTATTATTCGAATAATTAGTTAGTATCAAAATTAGAATTCAAGTTCAAACGATTAGAAACAATAGTAAATTATTCGTTCAATTCTGAAAGTTCAAAAAACGGTTTGAATGACCTTCTATACAACATTTATATATGTATATATATATATATTAGCTGGCCCGGTAAACGTTGTTACCATATAAGGTATTTGTAAACAATTTCCAACATCCAAAAGTTGACGTTTCAAACATTTCAAAAAAGTTGATATTTTGAATTTCTAATAACATTTGCAACCAGTTTAAAACTACTTACTGCAATTAAATATTATTCTTCTAAAACATTCTATTATTGAACATAATCTGTCAAAACCATTTGATATTTGACGTATAACCCGCAGTTAATTGTTTCATTTTGAATTACGCTTCTACAAAAACTTTTAAATTAAAAATGTAAAGTTTCTACGCAATTTTGGAATAATATCTCACCTTTCCCACTACCTCTCGATTAGCACAAATATTTCTACACTAAAACTGGCCAAATCGGTTCAGCTTTTTTCGAATTATAGCAAATCTAATTTCATTCATTTCATTTCTTCATTTATATATATATATATATATATATATTATATATATATAAATGAAACTTGATGCTCTGTTAGATTTGTTATAATTCGAAAAAAGCTGAACCGATTTGGCCAGTTTTAGTGTAGAAATATTTATATATTATATATATATATATATATATATATATATATATATATATATATATATATATATACATATATATATATATATATATATATATATATATATATATATATATACGAGTATATTCCAATGTCAGTGGCACTCGATGAGATATGACACCAATTCCACTACATGATTTTGCAATATTATTATATAAATGAGTCAGTACTATTAATTGTAATATTCAACAATAATGTGAAAAAACTAGAACAAGGAAATTAAAAAAAATCTTGAAATTTGCTCAATAAAGGTATATGAAATCTAGATAGTTTTTTAGACGAAGATTAAAATAAATCTTGATGGCATCAAAGTGCATGAAATAAAGAGGAACTGCGCAGATTCTAAATGCAATTACTCCATTGAGCAAAGAAAAAGGCACTAAAATAATATTTAAACTTATCTGAACTTAAAAATTGTATAGAGGTAGATATTGTGCATTTATTTATAGTTGTATAGACCTCATTGTTCCATTGGTTTTTAATATGACTCGTAATTTGACTGAGGTTATGGTTCGGCAAATTCAATTTTATATATAAAACAATTCATACCCACAATAGTATAAAAGATTGCGTGCAATGAGATTACATGGAATAGTATAATATACGTACCGAGTTTATTTTTTTATAATTTTTTATTTATTCGGAAATTAATAAAAATATGTTATGTTTGAAAAATGTAACAAAACTAATGCAGATTCATGGCAAAGTGAAGTTATATATTAAAACACATTCAATAACGATTTCATTATAAAGTTCGGCAAATTCAATTTTATATATAAAACAATTCATACCCACAATAGTATAAAAGATTGCGTGCAATGAGATTACATGGAATAGTATAATATACGTACCGAGTTTATTTTTTTATAATTTTTTATTTATTCGGAAAATTAATAAAAATATGTTATGTTTGAAAAATGTAAAACAAACTAATGCAGATTCATGGCAAAGTGAAGTTATATATAAAAACACATTCAAATAACGATTTCATTATAAAGTTGAAAAAAAGTTGGTTTTATGATGAAAATCTTTCTTTATTTTTTCTCCGCTAATTGCAACAATATGCATAAAAACCCAAAATTAGTTCTTATGGTGTTTGAGTTTCAGATAATCCATGGATTAACGGTTAATCGTATTTCTCATAATTCAATTCAGTTTCAATTAATTAAGCAGTTACAATATTAATATTCATTTCATTACTTCATTGAATGCAAATGAAAATAGAATGAATAATCAAATTCTCACACACATTACTGTTACCACAAAGGTCATTGTCGGTTTCACATAATTTCTCTTATTTCATGAATGTGTAATATAAATAACGCTAAGTGATAAATTTATTCATTGAGAATAATGAAGCCGCTTGCAAATTTTAGTTTGCTTTAATTTAGAGCAGTGTTTTCCAACGTGGGACTCATAAAAAGAGAAAAGACACGATTTTAACTTTTTAGATCTGGGTTAGTTATATACAGTGTCAGATGTCGGTGACGAATTTTAACAGAATACAAGGAAATATTTCTAATATTAGTTTTTTATTATTTATTTAATTTTCTTAAGAAATTTTACTGTCAATGTTTTTTTAATAGTTTTACAGTATTTTCTTCTCAATACTGATCATTATGTTTGATATCATTGTTTTGGTAAGATTGCTTTAAATAATTTCTGTAAAACACGCAAAGATATATATATATATATATATATAAATTAAAATTTTTATAGATAAAAAGTACGAACCGAATCCTCATAATCAGGCCTGTGCAACGCCATTTGCGATCCCTCTCTGGACTCTCCAGGGCTGGAATGCCTTCTAGAACCACGACCACCTGCCAACTCGTCATCTTGCATATAATTCTGAAATAAAATTAGGCATTTGCTAATTTTACATCGAATAGAACACACTATATAATATACAAAGGAGAAAATCACAGTGAATAATACACAACAGAATAGCAAAACCAACTAGAATATATAGGTTGAAATAAACAGATAAATGTAAGTTATGTCTTTTCTTCCCTTTTTATAAAAGACTAATATTATTACATCCACTCTTGCAAAAAAATTATCCAAAATCCCAACTTTAAAAGTAGGTGCAATAATTGGAATAAATCGTCACATGCGTGGAAATAAAAGAAATCAAGACATGCGTGTATTTGATCATATTTTTCTCATTTCCTAATATACTTTCAAAGCTAACACGACCTAAATATTGATAGCACTGTTTTTATTCTTGGTTATTTAATTAAACGTAATTTACAAAAAACTATTTATATTACTGAACTCTGTCGTACCTTACTTTTTGTTCAAGTAATATAATAATCTGGACGCGGTTTTCTGGAACGTTTTTATAGTGTTCAGAAGTATTATCTTATTATATTGGTTATGAAAGCGGCAATCTTCATGGCATTGAGCTTTTATACCGGATGGTTGCAACCCTGCAGAGGGAGTAGCGTATTTGGTTCGGACTTATTTTTCTCACTTTCATAACTATGATGCAATAATCAAAACTGATGAAGTTGTTTTTACAGCCTAAATTACTTTTTTCAATTTCACCTGACAGAGAGGTAATTTGTATCAACAGAAACAATTTCACCTTTTTCTTGCAAAATCTGTCTCTGGTATATCTTTATATGCTTAAGTTAGTGTAAGAGTTACAGAGAACTAGGTCTCTGGAAATGATGGCCTTATTTGTCGAAACTTTTATAAACAAATGGTTATACTACACACTATCATAATGCTCCATCTTCAAAGACCAAACATTTGCATTAACTTAAAATATCGAGTTCCAAATTACTAAATTTTTTGATTGAAGTGTAAAACTGATTGATTATGCTCAAGTAACTACCAAAATTTTTGAAGTATGCATATTACGATCTACCTATATGAAATGCAATAAACAAATATGCCTAAGTAGATTCAATGAAATCTTCATTAAGAGCAATAACAATATTGACAAGAAAATATACTACTTATTGTCTCTGTTTTCATAAATTATTTTAAGTAGTTTAATTAAATAATATCTTCAAACTAAAAGGTAATGTTAATAAAACAGTAAAATTTATAATTTTTTTTAGATAGTAGAATCTTCATAGTAAATTCTTTATATAAATAATACGGGCGAACTGGCAGAGGTTAAATGCATGAGTTGACATGGTCAGTAACATATTCCTCTATCTTGTCTATTAAAAAACAAAGATCTCCCGTTTCTTAGTCAGGTGATCATAACCATAATTTGATATTCAAGTATCTTGCCACCAAAAAAGAACAACGTGTATGAGATTTTTGAGATATGGAATATGGTATTTAGAGGAGAGATACGAGTATTAAGTGCTAATTTACCCAAACTGTAAAAAGCCAATTCAACGTTATTAAAATTAGAAGTGATAGGTAGAACTAAACTCATGTCGTTAGGTAGTCCTACAGAAATACTTTAGAAACTGTCTGCAGCAGAAGAAATTTTAAATTCGAATAAAGGAGTCCATTTATAATTGACTAAGAAATAGTGCATAATAAATAAAGTATTAAGTGAAAAGTATAACTATTAAGAAGAACGTTGGATGGCCGTATTTTGTTATTTAACATATACATATATCACTTCTACATATTTCTTCTACATATATCACTTCTACATATTTCTCATCTCGTTATTGTCCTTTTCAAAGGACATGTTTACAAAGGACATGAAGTCATGTTCTACATAAAAATCAGAATGTTGCTGATTAGCTTTTGATTAAAATCAGCAAGGCCATTTTTTTACTTTTTTGAAAGTTTGAAAACTATTCGAAGACTTCCACGATTGTAATTTTTCTAATTTACATTTTTATATATTCATCATTCTGATTTTTAGTTTTATTTTTAATATATTATGCATTTATAAAGAAGATTTTAAAGCATTTTATTTTCTATTAGTAAAAAAATAGTTTACTTGAAAATCTTAAACGAGTCTAATCATTTTTTCGATTTTTAGTTTAGATGTGATCTTATATTTTTGTAGAAGAGTTTTGTAGGTCAACAAAATAAAGTAAGAGTATAGTATACCTAGTATACAGTGAATTATAGAATCTCAGAAATTTTATATATGACTTCTGTTAAAATCCAAAAACTTCTAAACCGAGCAATTTTAATATTTTAGTAAAAGAAGATAATTTAACAGTTTGAAGCAGGTTGATTCTGGAATGATTCTTTTGATTTTCTTTATTTAAAATTTGAAGTTAATACATGTGCATTGTCTATAGATATTAACAATTTAGAACAGACATCAAATAACTACAAAAAACCTATTTATACTAATATTTTGAAGAATTTTACAACAGATTAATGATCAGTTATTTACTTCTTTTAATTTTCTCTTAACGAAATGATTATAGTCATTCGCAAAAATATTTTTAAAAATATATTTATTCTTAAAAACCACTTCTTAAAGTAAAGAGTATTCACAAACAACACAATACTAAGGTGCAATATCAAAAAACGTGTCAACAGAATAGAAGCGAAGAAGGTATTCTAAAACATAGAAGAAATTTTGCTAATACATTCCAATAAAAACATTGAAAAATTAAAATTAATTCATATAAACTCCAAATGGAAAAGTTGGGATATAGAGACTAGCACAAGGTGTGTGATCTAATTTTATGAAAATTGATTTAAGAAAGTTGCAGGGTTTATTTCTAATTGACAAAATATACCTGCGTATCGGTGTCTTCATCGTTCGACAACATTAGATCCGTTGTTGTTGGACGTTGATGACTCCATCCAGTATGACGAGGAGTTCTGAAGACACATGCGAATTTTTACTAATCGACATAGAAATAATTATCGCGAGATAAAAAAACGAAATTTACCAGGCTAATATAATTGATTGTTATAGAAAAACAAGTCTCGAAACGACACTTATAGGAAAATTAGAAATTACCAGTCATTAAACATTAGATTATAAAAATCAGTTTGCGATCAATTTATTTTTAACTCCGTACTTTCGATAAAATTATTGCTTGAACAATTTACCACGACTGCAATATTCTTTATTGCTTATCAAAAATTTATCTATCTTAAAAGTTTAACTTTTTGGTACATATTTGTGGTACTTTCCTATGTTCGTTCATTTTTTATTAGAGTATTCTATAATTTTGCCAAAAACGCCAATAAATTATTAAAAATGTAATTCATTCTATTAAAATCTTTAATTTGTTTTTTGATACCAATCTCACCTAGATTGCCTATCATGAGCTTGTAAACCTACTCCGGAATCTTCCGAAGGTGATCTTAAGTGGTCCTCCATCATAGGTTCACCAAAAATTGCACCACCGTCCTGAAAACAACGTTCAATGACAAAAGCTATTCGCGAACGTCGATAAAAAAATTAAGAAAAAAATTCATTCGTGATAGAAAAATAGAAAAATCTAAAAAAATGATGCAAAAAGAATTTACACAACGTGCTCTAGTTGGATATTTACATAGGAATGAAACTAAATATATATATGGAATAATTTATACCTATTCGTAATAAGTTGTAACAGGGTATAATTTTTTAAAGATTTATGAAATAAAAATTTGTACAGGAGTGCGAAAAAACACGTGCTTCAAAACTTAGTATCAATTATAATGAATTTGATTTAATTAATTGAATTATTTATTATTAATAATGCAGGTTTGATACTCGAGACTTCGACATCATAGCATGAGAAATTAAAATAATATTTAAATTTAGATATAGTAGAAAAAATCAAAAACATCCTTAGGTTATTCATTTTATGAAATATTATATATAACAAGGATTAATTGAATAAGGCAATATTAAAAAAATTACTAGCAATTCCAATGCTTCGAATGAGTTTTGGTCAATTTGAGGACCAGAACACAATGGAAATAGCAAAGCTCTGACAAAATTTTCTCTAATAAAATAATTGGTTCTTCGATAACATTTAAAACCTTCAGCTTCCCAACAAAAAATTTAAGGAGAATTTGTAAAAACAAAAATCTAATACAACATTTAATCTTAAATTTCTTTATAAAATGGAATGTTCTATCAACTTGCCTAAAGGCACGGCTATTTGCAGCATATAAACAATATTGAATCCTTACACAACTATGGGGATCAGCGTCCAAATCAAGGGTGATAAAAATTGCTGAGGTGCCAAAAAAAAAAAATTTCGAAGGTTCCAAAATATATATCGTATTGACGCCGACGTGAAAACAATAATTGGTGACATACGAACACATTTAGACAATTACAAAAGCCGTCTCGGGGATCACCCAAACTCACTTGTCATAGAACTACGCCACAACCTTACCAGGCTTGTTACCATACATCAGTTTTCAAAATCTACAAATTCACTCCATTTCTTCCAAATTAAGCGAGATGAAATTTCAAAGATGCCAAAATGAATTACTAAGAAAAATTTTAAATGCCTTAATGTATGTTCCGTATTGGTTAATATAAAGACGCTGACAAAATACAAAAGCCGTCTTGAGGATCATCCAAACCAACCTGCCAGAGAACAACGCCACAACTGGTAGTGTTTTGGGCATGTTATATTAAAATACATTAATTTTCTAAATATTTGATAATGGTCAAAAGATTTTGAATGTTTGAAGTTTTTTTTTAATTTTACAATTTCAATCAAATAAATTCAATAAAATTTAAATAAAATAAATATAAGAAGTATATAATGTCAAGAAGTAAATTTTCTTAACTAGTAATAAAATTAATATTATTTAGAAATTTTTTTTTGATTGACAAAATAAAAACAGGCCAGTCGGTCATGATATTGAATGAGTTTGAATTTCCCAGTATTGATTTTCAAAAAATAATTATTGGCTATTGAAAAGGAGTGCAATTTGACAAAATGCTAGATATAAGCACTTTAATATAATATATTTCTGTTTGCAATTAATTATTATTTCTTCCTTCGATAATCCATAGAATATCATATGTGTTACCATTATTGGCTTTATTTTGAAGAAATAGAGCATATATTCCGGTGACCACAAAAGACAACGAAATGCCGTTGTAGACAAATGTCACAACGTATAATTTAAAACTTTGTCGGAGTTACAGTCCATGCTGCGTTATGCAATTTTAGAATTACTTTAATAATATATAACATATATATAACAATGAATGTAATCATACTAATTATATACCAGTGCATATTTCATTTTCACAATCTCAATTTTTCACGTCATAGCAAAAAGGCATTATTGAGAAAATGGTTTCTAGAGAAATAGATAAATGATTCACATTTATAGTAAGGAATCTAATATAAAGTCCATATATTTAAATCAACATCTCACGATATGCGAAATATCGTGTTAACTTTGAAAAATCCATCAATACACCGATTTAGTTTTGAAGTCAGACTATCTTCATATAATTAGAAGAAAAAGTAGGAATACAGTAACATTTCTCAAATATATAGCAATTCTCACACAAAATTTGAAATCAAACATATCGATCAGTGTTTTAGGCAGATAAAGTTTTGTTATAACTTATAGTACAACTGATTCATTGCAGATGACTAAATGTCATCATCAAATGCAATCAAATGAAATTCATCAATACATATCATATTCAGCAATACATCAAATTTAAATCTAGCATTATATGGAAGGACATATCTAGTAAGGCTGAATCCTACAAGTTTAGATTTTTTTCACTAGTTATTAATATTAGATTTAATTTATTTGTAAAAATAGTTAATAAAAATTAGGTCAGTTAATAGTTAATTAAAAAGTTAGTTCTGAATTCCAGGTTAGCTTCATTTTATTAGAGAAAAAAATATGAATCGCGTACACATTTCATAATTCTCAAAGAAAATTTGAAACCAATCATATAGACCAGTGTTTCATAAAGACACATTTTCGATATAATTTCTTGTACAAATATTTTATTTTAGATGATTAAATGCCATCATCAAATAAAATGCGTTAGTATAAAAATTTACATTATTGATTTTCTCAATAGTACAAAGGAAAAATTGCTAAAAAAATATTTTAAAATCAGTATAAATGTAAGTTAGATTTAGTTTAGTTGTAAGATTTTACACAAAAATTTAATTTTACAAAATTTTTACAGAAAATTTGAAATAAAACATATCGATCAGTGTTTTATGGAGACATATTGTTTCCACTAGTCAGTTATTAATATTAGATTTAATTAATTTGTAAAAATCATATAGAATTAGTTTAGGTGTAAGCCAGAGTGAGTTATCTTGCAATCACAAATGAAAAAACTACTTATGTATCTTAAGAATCTTCTACTCGAAGAATATTAAATGAAATGTCAAAAAATAATAAAGGGAGATATCTTATTGGAGATAAATTCTTTAAATGCATACACAACCAGCATATTGTCTTAAAAAATTATATTATTTTGGTCAGCAATAAATATATGTGAAAAAAAACGTATGCATCTTAATTTTCACTTTTTGGAGCCCTCTATTGAATCACGTGACGTTTGACAAAAAATCACGATATACCAAGTTGGAGAGGAGGTTCTAGTAATATATCACGTGTATTTACCTGAGTTTCCAAAAAAGTAAAAAAGTTTTTAAAAAAATCCAAAATTTTACGATTTTTTTTTCAGTTAGTAAAAAATCATTTGACATTGGGTTGGACATGGTGGTTAATTTTAAATATACCAAGGGCAAGAAAGAGGTCCAAAAATTCTTAAAAATCGATCACGTGATATATATATACTTATTATACAATCTTTTGTAGTAGATATTTAGCAATTTGTATAATACATATATGTATTATACAAATTGCTAAATGTCTACTACAAAAGATTGTATAATAAGTATTGCATTTTATATTATGTTTAATAAAAGAAATGAAATAAATATTATTTACCTTAATAAATAATACAATATTTCAAGATAAATATTACAATGTACAGGAAATATTCCGCCATATGTGTGTACAAGCCCCTAGGAATACGTTACGCAGCATCCACGCCCGAATCATCATACGCAGTATTCTCTCTTCTCTCAATAAATGCATACGCACGCACATAAACATACATTGTTACACTTAGATTTATAAAAATATATGAATACAAATATATTCCACGTTCACATGGCTATGTGTATAAAGTAAAAACATTTCTCCTCATGTCACATGTGATATTTTCACATATGATCACATGTGCGTGCACGGATTCATATGTGTATGGAAATACCAGGCGAGCAGAAGCGCTTCAAGAATGTGTCGCTTCTGGCAAATTCAATATTATTTATCATATGAGGTGATATCAGAGCGGGAATAACATATAAATTGCGACTCACTCACAGTCAACTTTCAAAGCGAATGAATACTCCCTATTCTACATTTGCAGCATGAGATAATCGAATAGTCGAATGAAAAACGTAATTTTGTAAAAGCATTTCTGATTTTTTTTGTTTGAATTGGAATAGCAATCAATATTTGTTTTTCTGTAAGCTATCATGATGGTATTATCATTTACAAATAGCTAGAAAAAGCAACCCAATGGCTTGCCTATTCTAGACATTCTTAACTAGTAGCTCTGTATCTCCGAAACGGCAGGACCTGCGTTTGATAAAACTCAACTATCTTATCTGAATTGTTTTTAAATCATTCAAATCGGTTGCCCTGTGGTCTTGAAATCGTAGACGAAAAATTTAATCCAAATATAAAAAAAACAATTCGAAGTGCGAATGTTACTCGATTACAATTGACATTTTTATTTTGTAATATTGCACAATATTTGTCATATTATTATATTAATAATAAAATAATGTATAAAATAATTTTTGTACATTAATATTTCAAATTCGTTGTTATATTATAGATAACTAACATATTAAAATTATTGCCAAAAGCAAAATTAATGAGAAGAATCATACATATTATTTATTCATTATAAAATCAATTTGAAAGCCTTGTTTTAAGAAACGCTTGTAATTTCAATTTGAGTCTTGTAAAAAAATATAACTGCTTTGCTACTAGGAACCAAATGATTCTGCCAGTAGTCCATATGCCTTTTAATGCTAAATTGCAAAATATTCACCAAAACATATATTCTACCTGTCTTAAGTAATTTAGAATAAAACAGTATTATATAGACAGGCAGAAGCACGAACAAACAAATGTTAAAATCTAAAACCAATAATGAAATGGTTAAGAACCAGCGAAAAAATAGAAAATTATTATAGAAATCAATTTCTTTTATTTATGTAAATAAATCAAGTTAAATTAAAGACAGAGGTAAATTAATTACAGATAATTCGTACACCAGTAGTAGATTGAAGAAAAACAACCGATAAGAAATTAGCGCTTCATAGGAAAATTACCTAATCAAGCCACAATTTTTTCAAGTTAATTACGATTAAAATTATAGAATGTTTTACATTCAACCATAATAAGAAAGTACGACCCATAAAAAATGTCATTTATTGGTCTATTGGTCATATAGACACCACAAATCTCTAAATAATCAAAGGTTTGTTTCCAATATTGAACCTTTATGAAAAGAAATTTTCGATATTATAAAAATATTATTAAAACTGATCGCAGCCTAGTTAGGGAGCGTCTATTAATCACGTGAGGTTTTTAGGGGGACGGGGGGTTTGGCAAAAAGACAAAAAATGTGACGTGGAGTAGTAAGGGGTATTGTAGGATGTCACGTGTATTTATATTTTTCCTAATTTTATTTTAAATTTAAAATAAAATCAAAAATTTTACAATTTTTTCTTGTAACTAAAAATACACGTGATGTTTGGTGGGAGAGGGGTGGTAATTTTGAATGTCAACACGTATCACCAAGGAAGAGAGGGAGTCCAAAAATCCTTAAAAATCGATAACGCTTCCTTAGTAGTTTATACTAGTTGAAATAGAAGTACACACCACACTCTATATTATACCGGCCAGCCTACCAGGGCAGCAGTAGCTGCTCGGATGGGTATCTGCATGTGTTTACGAATATATTCTATATAATATTATTATATTATATAGACATTGATGGACATGTTGTTTTGAGTTATTCAACACTGATCTACAATAAATAGTTGTTTAACCCTTTCCACTCGCAAATTCCGAAATTCATATGAATTTTGCCGCCGGAGCGGCATTCGAGTGCAAAGAGTTAATATATTTTGAACGCCAAACCACTCTGTGTATAAATAAAATTGATAATAAAAATAGATTGTGTCAAATCCACGTTTGGCGGTACAGGCAAAATATAAATATTAGTAAAATATTTTATTTTACTAAAAAAATTTTAAATTAAATAAATAATCAGCTTCTTTAGTATTCAATTTGAAGCTATTTTCAACCGTCTTGATTACAAGTTGATTACAAATGTTAATTTTTTTAATAATGAATATTTTTGATAATTAATAATTAATTATTCAAATTAGCTAAATTAATATTTTTAATATCAAAAATTATTTCATGACTGATTAACAAAATATTTTCAATAAAAATTGCATTTTATACAAGTAAATAAAAATGCCACGTTATTGCCCAGATTAAAACTGCCCTAGTAAGCCTATGTTGATGGCGTAAATTGTAAGATTTTCTAACCATTACATACATTACATACATTTTACAAATATAATATCTAAATAATTTACGGTGCTAAGAACCTAGTATTGGCAATCATTGACCATGTATCGTACTACACAAATGCGTTGAACAAGAAACATATATGCATTCACCAATTGCCGCCATAGCAGAGAACCGGTCTAAATGTTATAATAACTAAGAAATGTTCTATTAATGAAATAAGAGTAATAGTAAGAATAATAATAATAGTAAGAATAATAACAATAGTAATAAAATAATACTCCATTGACAGAATCACTCAAAGAAAATAAATCTACACTGATCTATGGAACAGTTTCTTTTAATGTAAAGGTTAATGTAATAGTTTGTTAGAATGGTTTTCAATTTTGTGGTATTATGAATAATGTGGTTTAAAACATACCTTGGAGTATTGCACATTTCTCGAAGAGTCTTTGATTGGTTTTTATATCTATATTACTAAATATAAATTTTTTATATCATAATATCTATATTACCAATAGTCCAATGCCATGTCAGTCTTTTGTCTATGTGCATACCTAGATATTTTACTGTATTATTTTGTGGCAATTAATCCCCATTCAATAATACAGGCAAGCCCGGTTAGATAACGTTTATTATCATCTGGTAACAATTCAATTTTGGGGATTTTTTGACCCTATATAAATTTGTCCGTAAAACAAATCATATCATTCTGTATTTGGAGAGCGTTGTGACAAGATCGCAGTGGTAAATGTTTTGAAAATTAAGTATTATGTAATAATATCATAAATTTATTTTCGAATACGTCGCATGTTTATGTTTAGATTGATTTGATTTGACTGAATTACGTATTGAATTATCGTTTCTTTTATATTAATCGATTTATATTAATTTTTATATTTTAAAAACTTGCATTTGACTACTAATTATTTTGTTTATTTACTAATGTACTTGGGTTGTTTCAGGTTTCATACACTATTCTGCACATGGGCGGACAACTCTGGAGGCTCATTGTGCATTATTTTTCATACTTATATTCCATCTATTAGTCATTCCTCAGTTAACATCAAGTTGAGAGGTGTTTTGAAGTAAAATTTTTGGTCTAATAGTTTGCGATTTATTATTAAATTAATTTAATATATTAAATAATCAATTTTTATTTCACAGATGTCGACGACTTTTCAAGAAGATTGCCAGAAAATTGCTTACCCAGACAATAAAGGACCAACAGAAGATCGCAAACAAATTGGTGTACATGAATGAAGTGAAGATAAAATGTGAGAAGACTTTAGTTATATTACATTAATATTATTATTAGATAGTACTTGTATCTTGTATCTATTATTATTATGTCATATCAATAATCAGTTAGGATCAGAAGGGACGCGTATTCACGTTCAGATCTTTCGGTCGTACCGTTTTTTGGGGGTTGTTCGCGAATTTTTGTTAAGAGCTCAAAAGGGTGGCGCTGCGGAAGAACCTTTCTTTTATTTTGCGCGCTTTTCTTAACATCAATTAATTAATAATTGCAAATCACAAAATGATTTGCCCTTAAGCTTCATAGGCTGGGAACCTATGAAGTTTTTTTCTAAGTGTTTACATGGTGGATCGAGGGGGGTACATCATGTAAATACTTTTTTTTATAAATTTAACATCACCGTTCCAATAACAAAGTAAAGTTTTTATATTGATTTTTATTTTTCACGACGAGAGGTTCTTTCCATCTTAAAAACCGAAATTTTTGGGTATATTAGGTCATTTTGCGGGGTTGTTTTCGCGTTATATTTGGGTCAGTTAAGTATGTTTTAGTTTAGTTAATAATTAGTTTGTAAGTTAGTTTAAGTGGATTAGGGCTGCTCAGATCGATACTTAGTAGTATTTACACTATGTCTATTTCCATCTGAAATGTTAGATACGTAAATACGAACAAAAGTATCTATTTCTGTGGCGATACCACATTAAAAAAAACGCGCCTAGCAACTGTACCTCATGGGTGGTGCGGAAAACAGTTGCATCATTATTATAAGTATTAATTATTATACTTGAAATTCTAGATAATTATTTTAATTAGTATACATAAATTGAACATCATGTAATAATGTATTTAAAAATAAATATTCTAAAATTAATCTTTGTTATTTAAACTGTTAATACCTCTAAGATTTTTTTTACAGAAATTAATAGAAATTAATTATTATATTATTTTTTAAAAAAGATAATAATATTAATTATCAATGATTAAAATATTGAATGTATGTTGAAAAAATACAACAGGTAGCGCATGGTACCTCGCATAACAGAAACATCTTCGAATATTTGGAATTATTCAAAATATTTTTTATACTAGTATATATATATATATATATATATATATGAATATACATATATTTGTATGTATGTATGTATGTATAATTTGTGAAGTATTTGTAAAATTACTCAAATTAAATTAATTTATTTATAATGTAATAAAAATATGTAGTTCAAAATATGTTGTTTCATGTTTAGGTCTTACATTAGTATTCCATTCAATGCTGTTTTCCCCTATTTTAATGAAACATGGCACATGTATGTATATAACTTGAAGGCAAATAGAACACGCATGTGCGCTTCGAGGCAAGTCAAACACTTACTTCGCCCATTTCAGAAAGCGTCTGTTCGCCTGGTACATCAAAGTCGATACATGTTGACTTCACTTTACTTCAAAATATAGATTTATCATGAAAATTTAGTAAATCATATGTGTCGCATACGTTATCAGTCTGGGAATGCTTCAGTTGAATGAAGGATGGAAGTTTTAAGATTTAAATCATAATCATATCAATAGTTGTCAACATGGTGATTCTTGAATTCTTTTGCATATTAATGCAAAACTTGCAATATATATCTAGACATATCCAAAAGCATTTATCTCAAATGCAATTGGTTGAAATCTCTAAAAAAATAGTCAGAGACTCGGTCAGAAGTATGAAATCGGGCTAACCATCTCATAGCCTAGTAAGGAAAATGTTAGATGGAAGTTTTAAAATTTAAATCATAATTATATCAATAGTTGTCAACATGGTAATTCCTGAATTCTTTTACATATAAATGCAAAACTTGCAAAATATATCTAGGCAGTATATATCCACATTCGAGATAAATTGGTTGAAATCTTTGAAAAAAGAGTCAGAGACTCGGTCAGAAGTATAAAATGAGGCTATCCATCTTATAGCCTAGCAAGGAAGTTGTTGGATCAATTGCACTTCAAGAACAATTAATTAACTTCCCCTAGGGTAAGTTATAGTAATGACCCGAAAATCAAAAATGAATTTTTCTTGCATTTCTTCACGTTTTGAAGGTTTCTGAATACTTTGGCATACCTCAGATAAAATGGATGTGTGTGTGCGTGTATGTGTTTTGTGCACACTCATTTTTTCGTCCACGGTTTCGGGCGCACAGATCAACCGATTTGAATGGTTCAAAAAACATTCGATTCCTATTGATTACGGAGCCGTTACGGAGATACGAAGCAATTAGTGCAAAAAAATAAATCGATTGTTTGAGAGAACGGAGCATCCAATTAGAATGATCCAAAAATCATTTAACTCGTAATGATGGGGAGAAGTGGTGATTAGTTCTTGGTAAAGGCAGGTCCAGCCGTTTCGGAGACACCGTGCCAAATGTGCAAAAAATGGCAGTTTTCGAGGGAACTAAGCATCCGATTTGAATGATTTAAAAAATAGTCTGCTTGTGCTAACGATTGCTTTTGGAAAAAGGATTTTTTTTCAATTTTTTTTAAATTTCCTAAAAATATTATTTTTTAAATATGGAAAATAATTAGGATTTTAATTTTAATTCTGGTTAAAGTTATAAAACTCACTAATATACTTCAAATGAATAATTTAGACTTTGTTATTGCATTTTCGACTTTATTTGTGAATATACGGTACGGGAAGTTTCAGCAATTTGCCTTAAGGAACTATACACCACTAGTTTAATTAATTAATTGTAGATACATGATCAACCAAAAAAAATCGTTGACTGAGAAGTTATTTGATGCAATAATGTGATTTATTGTGTGATTAATTTATAGCCATATAAAAAGGTATTAAGGTATTACAGAGGAGTATAACAGTACAGATCGATTCACATCGATTGATTGAAAACCTTATTTGATTATAATTTAAATAAGCCCTTTTTATTAAAAATCTTCAATTTAAGGCAACACACATTCAGTATACTTCATTACATTCGCAGTCTTTATTACATTTTAATAAAAAAAGAAATTAATCAGGTTTCTAGGTTCGAAATATTAATAAAACCTCTATTTATATACAACGTCCTTTGAATAATAAATAATTTAAATCGCAAGGTTACCCAATATACTAATTAGGTAGCAACGTTAGTGTCTATACCTAATATTTGGTATAAAGTTCAATAGATTATTATAGTATAGTAATAGTAATTCAAAAGTAACTTTAATTCATTATCTATTATAATTTATCGTAGAACTGTTCTTTAGAAGTGCATAAAAATGAAGATTATTTTAAACCAATTTCTAGTAAAAAATCATTTCTTAATTTAAAGAAAGATGCAAAAATATGAAAGTTGAACTACAAGTTGCAATGAAAATTATCATCGAAGTGCTATATACAAGACAGATGAATAAAGAATCACAGTCAAATCATTCAACAAACATTACAAGGATTCGTGACAGATAAATTCAATTTAAAGAGATAATATAATTAATAATTTAACAAGAGAATAAATTGAAAAATAGAACTTACCCCGGAAAGATCGTGCTGCCCATGTAGTTCCAATTTTCTCTGAAAATTATTTTCTTAAATTAATTAAAATGTAAATTTTAAGTTGTAAGAGCTACGTGTGTTCAGTTAAATAAATATTTAGTTAATAAATTTCACAAAAAAAAATAATTTAAAATTTATAAAATTGCTGAAAATTGATAGTACTTATGAGTATGATAGTTAAAATTATATTATCACAATATCAAGATCATAAGAATTCATCATTATTTGAGTATTCACAAATGTCGCAAAATTAATTTATTTATTTATTGAAATTCTTGTGATTCAAAATTTTAGCAATTATTTGAGCCAAGCATATTAGGAATGCTGCAGAATCAGTTAATTATAATGATATTTTACTCTAATTCAAACAAAAAATAAGGGATTGTTTAAAATACTAGGTAAAAGTGTTACAAATTTGTTTAGAACACAATCAACCAAAATTTAATAAAAAATTTAGTAAAATTCGTGCTAAATTTTCTTATTTTTCATACGTGCCTTCTAATTTTTTCTAAATATTGCGACTAATTTTTATAATATTGTTGATATCATTAACATTATTATTGATGCAAATTTATTAATATTAGTATGATTACTCTTATTTTTAATTATCATTGTTTTATGTAAAATATAATAACAAATGATAATACCAGAAGATATAACTGTAGAAATTTTAAAAATACATTTAAATCGAAGCGATTTCAGTTTTAATCAAGTATTCAAATGCAATCGCAAGAGTGCAAATTCAATTTAACTAAAACCATTATTCATAAGAGGCAAATCTGCATTGAATTACATGTAGAAGCGTCGAAATCTAAGATTATGTACGTAATTCGATGGCCAAATATTGTCTTTGAAAATCAATTTACACTCACCCGAGCATGAGGATCGATGTGGGCATCCCTCCTGTATACCAGCTCGTCAAATCTTACTCGATCTTCTGGTAAAATGATTTCCCGGAGCTCTGTCATCAGTGTTAACTGAAAAAAGAAAAACAAATGCTATGTGAATATGCTACAAAATTCTTATTTTTACCTAAAATAATTTTAAAATGTATTTTGCGATAGCTAACATCGGTTTCTAAAATAATCAAATCATTCACTCCTAACGAGGAATACCATAATAAGTAGTAGAAATATTTATTTAAAAACGCTAATGTGGTAAGTCTTATTAATGAAAAACGGATTATTGGAAGCAAATTGGTAGACCGAAAATGTGATTCATATCTATAATATAAAAATGAATAGCAAAATTGCTTAACAACGCCTGGACCAATTTGTCCAATTCCTTTTTAAAATGTTTGTTGATGTCCAAGGATGGTTCTTATGGCAAGAAAAAATCGATTAATTGCCGGGAAAAGCCTAAAAACAGCCCTTTCCTTTTTCACATACAAACGTTTTATATCTAAAGCGTATAATCAATTTGAGCTTTATTGCTATTATATAAAGTTCATATTAAATTACAAGCACTCACTGTATACTCCTCCTAAACAATTATTCGGATTTTGATAAATCTTTCTGAAGTTTGTTAAGGAAATTTTCTAGGATGTATGTGATTATAAAGTACTGGGATGTATGTGCAATATTGTAGAAAAAAATGGAAAAAATTGCGAAAGACGACATGTCACTGTTTAAAGCAGTTCTACATTTAACATTGCTCTTATTATAAATGTATATACATTTTGGTGTGAAGAGTAATTTAAAACACAATAACTATTATTTTTGGGTAAACGGTAAATATTAGTATATTGTAGTGATGTGCCGACTCGAAAATTTCCTGATTCGAGTGATTCGAATTAGAAAAAAACCTGATTCGAATCATGATTCGAATCAATTCGAATCAAGTTCATATATGAACAATTATAATTTAAGAGAAGAAATAATATCATTTTAATAATTTTATAAGTGAAATAATTAATTTAGTAAGCAATTAATTCCAAAAAGTGCAGAGATGAATACATTTGTACTATATATATAATAATAAACTAGCTACAAATATAACTAATCTTTCAAGTGAATTTACAGTAAAATATAACCAAACACTTCTCTATCACTAAAGCATATAAAACAATATTCTTAATCTTACGTTGAACGAATGCATGTGTATATTATTGATTGTTTAGATCTAATCTAAACAGGGAGCTGAATCTAACGTCTTACGAATGACTTAAAATTCAATCCACTACTGTAAAGATTGATATTATTTCATTTGTGTGAATTTGCCATTACTTGCATAATTAAAATATAATAATTTTGTATGTGTATAAAACTCGTTGTGTAGTTTATTTTGATAATAATTAAAATCTAAATCGCGTATTTATTATCTAAATGAGTTTTTGATATTTCATGAACAAATTTGCTCTCAGCGCTTAGTCAAAAATAAACAAACACTCAAGACCCATACGCACTGCATCTCCATAAGTCGATACGCTAAACACGGACACATGTTTCGAACTCAAGTCGGTATGATTCAGTTTGAGTAGAACTCGGATAAATTCATACCGACTTGAAGTCGGGATAAGTCGGTTTGAGTCATAGGAACTCGAATCAATTCATAACGACTTGAAGTCGGGATAAGTCGGTTTGAGTCATAGGAACTCGAATCAATTCATAACGACTTGAAGTCGGGATAAGTCGGTTTGAGTCATAGGAACTCGAATCAATTCATAACGACTTGAAGTCGGGATAAGTCGGTTTGAGTCATAGGAACTCGAATTAATTCATAACGACTTGAAGTCGGGATAAGTCGGTTTGAGTCATAGGAACTCGAATCAATTCATATCGACTTGAATGCGGTTAAAGTCATATAAATTGGAGTCGGGTGATACATTTAAGCGTATTAAAGGCGGGTGACTCGCATGATTTAATTCAAGATTTATTTTTTATATTTATTATTATTATTTTTTATATTTATTATTATTATTATTTATATTGTTATAATATTGAATTAAATTAAAACATTTTTTTTATATTTATGAAAATTGTGTTCACACATGTTTTATCACAGTAAATATTTCGCGGCTTGATACGAGTTGATTCGAATCAAGTAAAATCTGATTCGAATCAAGTCGTTAAAGGCTTGATTCGAATGATTCGAATCACTTGATTCGACTTGGCACATCACTAGTATATTGTATTAAAAAATGTAATCATGGGTGCAGGACAACGTCTGTCGGGTCATCTAGTTCTAATATAATTTCTAATTATCTTTGCTTTAGACATTAAGTATGATATTGAATAATCGATAATTTGATAAGTACTCACTCAAACCTAATGCTAATATAAATAATAACCAATATATAAAATAGATGAAACCTAGAATTTATTTATCAATAATCAATAAAAATCGTTGAGCACTCTATCAATAGAGTCAATATGTAATTACTGTTCGATTAATTGTTGATTAAATTAATTAATATAACAATTATCAAAAATTACTTTACTTTCATACAAACAGGTGTATGCAACATGCCTCTAATTCTTATGTATATATATATATATATATATACAAATATATATATACAAACATATGAAAAATACATATATACAAATATATGAAAAATTTTATCTCAATCAGTTTTTAATCAATTAATGAAGGCCAAGGTGAAGTTAGTAAGTAATAATCTGTAGGAAAACGAGAGGCGGAATATTGAAGTAAATGCAGGCTATGGGAGTTAATGCATAGCAATTTTCAAATCTAGGAACTTGAAGTAATTTTCTTATAAAATATAGCATACAAAGTGCATGTTTCTAAGGTTGATATTTAAATTGGGAAAAGCGATTGCTTAGGAAAACAGAAGTATCTATATAATATTCACAATTTTTCACAATAAAATCAATATTGCTACTTAAAAACAAAATAAAATTCTATTATTATAGTGGTTGATTCATATGATTATGTGATCTATGAACTAAATATATAATTTTTGAAACCGATTCAAAGATTTTTGAGAAAATTAGTGTTAATGCTATTTAATGGGTTTTGTTCAAGAATTTTCATTTATTACCTTATCTGGAGTATTTAGCATTTCTTGCAGTACTGTGACTAAGGCTTCGCAAGTCATACTTCTTGAGCAATATTGCTGCGTGTAGTAACATAGTGCACTGAATTCTGCTCGGGGTAGTAAAGAACGTGCTTTTTCTTCTACCATTTGCTGAGCAGGTGACCTAGGTTGTCTAGACCTGAAAATAAATAAAATATGACTAATTAGTTAATTATATAATTCATCTTTTTAGTTATACTTTACACAAAATTAATTCAACAAAAACACAAAGACAACAGAATGATGTCTGAACTGAATCAATAAATTAATTATCAAAAAATCATCATTTGAAGTATTCATATTTGCGCCTGTTTTCATTTGGAAGGACTAGATTCAAATGAAATCTGTAGAATAAGTTCTTGTTGCATTTAAAAAAATGGAAAAGTTTCGAGTGTTGGCAGATTGAACTCATATTTAATATATCCTAATTGTTATGCATATAAAGAACATACACAGTAGAATATATAAGCGTTGGTCAGGCGTAATACGTACAGTTTAGAAAAATTCAACATGTAGGCAAAATATTTTGTGCGAATTTGATTAATGAGTATCAAATTGGCAGATTGCTTAGAAATGCCCTAGATACCTTGCATTAAAATCACTTATTACTTAGATTACACATTATCTCAAGGTTTAATATAGTAATATCAATAAAAATGCCCTCATATCTCTAAAAGAGTCCTAGAAAATAATTAGTTTTTGGAGTTTAGTGTAAAAAATTTAAACGCATATAATAATTTCATACTAACGTCGGACTGGCGGGATCATAAGGCTCATTGTCATAGGCAGTGCAGGAATGAGGAACTTTTCCAACATCCCGAACCACCAGTGACATCCTTTTATGGAATTTCAGCTGCCCACAGCCTCATCATGCGTCACGTCCAGAAAGATTGACCATTTACTTCTAAAATTTGATCACCAATCTGTAAAATTAGAAAAAAATGTATTACTTTCGTTATATATTTTTTTTATTTAAAATATATATTTACATAATGTATTTCAGTGAAACAAGTTGTCGGGTGCAAGAGATCACACCAGATAAATGAATATGATGGGAAATATGGAGACAGTTTGAAGTATTATTGATTATATGACATAAACATTAAAATACTGATGCAATATATAGCAGATAAAATCTGTGTCTTTGGGACAATAAATTTCATTATTATGAGAAAAAGATATATTTGCCAATTAGACGTGGCATCGGTATGTATGTCTCGTTAATATAGCATGATATTGAAAAATGCGATATCCAATTTTGTTTGGGAGGTACATTTTGCAGTGGAACAGGATATTATAGCAATTGAGTCTTTAGATATCAGAATGTATACAATGTTACCATTCTAATATTTTTAAATATTGAATTTTTCATTAATACCTTTTAATGAGTCAACTCACCATTAATCCGGCTCTCTCAGCGACGCTGTCTTTGTCGACTCCCGTAATATATATTCCTAATTGATATTCTACTCCACCCCTGATCATCAAACCCAAAGACTGACCAGGCTGAATGCAGAGTTCTACCCTTCGAACACTTCTATCTCGAGTTGACCATATTCCCATACTAGAGTCTGGAGGTGGTGAAACCTGAAAATGTAAGATAAACGATATATATTACACACACAGATATATATATATATATATATATATATATATCCTCAGCTCCCGCATTCCATTTTTTCTAAAAATTTCAGTAGGTTTAGTATTACTTGCAAAAGTAGTTTTTAATTTTTCTGTGTGTTTCTAACACATGTGTACTATTAATATTTGGGCTTCAAAATATTTTACTTTTTTATTTTAAGGATTTTATGTCATTCATTCTATTGAGCAAATTTTAGAAAGCAAAACTAATTCTAGCCTTTCATTATTAAATTCAGCATAACACTGGTCCTTGGATCATGTTGGATTTTTTTTAGTTCAATTTTAAAATATTCAAAATTGCATAGTAAACTTCTCCTAATTGATATCATAAGGACTAAATTAATTGATCTTCTTACCATCGTGTATAAGATTATTGTTTAAATGTGAATTTTTAACCTATTTTAAAAATATTGTCCAAAGATTAGTAAAAGATGCAAAGAAATTATATATTTCTTGAATGATATTGATAAAACTATATTATGAATTTCAAATTTGAATTTAGTTTTTGGTGCCCCCTTAAGCGTGCGCTCGCATTTTTTGCATGTATTGCATTAAAGGTAGGAGTGGTAGGACCGGCCCTGTATATATATAATTTTTATCAAAATTGACATTGCCATCAACTTAAGAAGTGAGGAAAAATATGTACAGTTATCTATAATCTATTAGGGTTGTATTAAATTTATATAAAACATTGACTCTTTTAGACTCAGCTTGACTCTGTTTACAATATTCTGCTGAATTTTAGTTTGAACATTATTTAAAAAATAACTAATATTATAATATAATAAATCCTTGCCGCATAATATCAAAGACGTTGCCGTGTTATTTCCACAAATAAATAGATAAACTTTACTGCTGACCAGCTTCAAGCAGAACCTAATCAGCATATATTTACCCTGAAAGACCGCAATCTCCCCATTATGCACACATAGAAAATTTATATGGTCGGCGTAGCACGAATGCTTTTGACACGAAGCTCTTTCATGCGCAAAACGAACTTTGAATTTACATTTATTTTGTTGTACGTTCGGTTTTGAGATCATTACGACAAGACACATGTGCATATTTCACAGAAAAAGCAACAATAATAATTGAAAAAAAATGTCTGGTTTTAGAAATACAGGTTTGAACTTGACTAATTTTATTATCATTTGCAGCTTCGTCAAATGTGGAATTGTTAAAGTAGGAACTAAGATCTTTGAATTACTTTATTAGTTAAAAATATACAAGACGTATAATGTTGTGTAAGTTTTTTTTGTTGTAATTTTTTTTTATCTATTCTCCTTTCTGTCAAACTTATAGGTACAGTGCATATATGTTGCACAAATGCTTCCAAAAAACATCTTCACATCAGATCATATTTGACATCAATAATCTCAAGTAAAAACCTGACATCACTTCTGGTTGATATCAAGCATACCGACATCTGGTTCGAATTCAAAACTAGTGCTAATCTACTCAATTACTAGTACAAAGTATTACACTCACCGGTCTCCCTTGACGGTCCATCCACGAACATGACGTTTGCCTAACAGTCGCTCCGTATCCCGGGGCGCTGCCACCAAAAGGCGCTCCGACAGGAATAGGTGCGCTCGGTGACAGAACTACAGGATTGGTTCCAGGATTTGTCCCCAATACACCGCCAATTGGTGGCAATCCGACGTGCGACGATGGTATGCTGACATGTTGTTGCTGAAGAGACGGCTGTTGTTGCAGATGCATTGGTAAAGAAGGTGGACTTCGTACCGTCATACTTAGATGCCTGCATGACTTCAGCATCTGTGTACATTTCTGTCCATCAGAATGGTGGTCAGAATAATAAAGTGAAGAGACAGAAGAATTTACAAGCACAACATAGAAAGAGGTTTAGTGAGTGCGTGATCGTTTTTTGAGAGGTATAGATGAAATATGGAAGTGTAGTGTGCAGTTCTTTACATCTAGACATTGATATAAAATTTATATATATATATATATATATATACATACATATACATATACATATACGCCCATGGGGCAAAAACAAACAAATGATAAATTTTCGAAAAAAAAACATTTCTATACTGGAAATTTTGCTGATCGTGGTCCGCTAGTTGTTTGTTTGATACATATTATGCGTTGTGATATAGTTGATTTAGTTTAGATAGTATTGTAAGTCAAAATGTAACTTTATGCCCCGCCCTACCTCTGATAATTAAATGAATTCAGTCTCATTATCACAATCCACAGGAATCATACACATCATATAGGAATCTCATCTAAATTTATTGCAGGAGCAAAAACATTAAAGCCATGCTAAACAGTATTGATCGATATGTCGGGCGACCGAAAACTTCTATTTTCTAAGATCATAATTAGATTCACCCCTTAAGAAAAGTTTATTTATGAACACCTTCCGAGGCCGCACCTTTCTCACTGCAGTTCATCAAAACTTTGAATCATAATGGTATCAACTTAATTGCGGAAAATTGCCTTATGTTTTATTTTAGGACAAAGTCAATATTATACAAAAATAACTATGTACATAAAAATAATTATATTTAATTTATCTGAAATATATAAATAATAAACTTTGAATGTTTGTATTTTATTTTTTATTTTTAGTTTTTATACTTCATAGCTCTTTTTCTATTATTATTGAAATTGTTCCAAATTTTACTACATGATTAATTTAATTAAAATTATGATTATCAACCTATAATTTAATTTAAAAATATAATAATAACGTAGCTTTCTCCTGTAACCAAATTATCTCATTTTCTACAGAAATATATATTATGTAGGAATATGAATCTAAATATGAGCTCAAGCGTTTTTTTGAATAAAAAGATGAAGAGCATGAAGCATTAAAAATAGCAACAAAGAAACCAATATTCGACTATAAAAAATAAAATATGTTAGTTTTCTTTTACTTTTTAAAATCTCGTGCCTTGCATAGTAAATGTTCTACGCACATACATTTTTAACGCATATAATTGTTTTTGCCCTCTTATTTCCTGTTCAAAAGTTTCTGATTTGATACAAATGCAAAAATGATATAACTTTTTTTTCAATTTCTAAGAATTTTAAATTTCAAATAAATTGTCGATAAAGTCGAATTTAACATTTAATTAGAATTGGAATTAAATTCAGCGTATACCAAATGTAATAGTGTTCTCCAAATGTTAAATTTTTATTTGTTGTTGTTATTATACTCATAATGAAACTAAAATGGTAACATTCATTACGCAACTCATAGGATAAATAAAATTTTATACTAATTAATAAAAAAAATATAAATAAATAATCAAACAAACCAAATCATATAGTATTCTGACGATTTTTCGAACCTGATCGAATGATGATTTCTAATATATTAATATTATATCCATTATCTCTATAATTTAACTTGACATATATCGTCAGCTAGCTACTAAACTCATTTCAGATATACGATTAAAAACTGTCTAAAGTTCTAAAGTAGATTTAATATATTTTTAGTTAGATATTGATTTTTCCTCAAAGTACGATGGACTGGCGAGTAATGTCGTTCCAAATTAAATTTTTTATGAGCAAGAAAGAAGAAGGGATAAGGAACGTTCGCACATATAGGATAGTCTGCAACAAATACTAAAATATTCTTAAACTAAATCTTTAACTGAAGAGCAGAAAAACTATCTTGAATAAAATTCTTTATGGAATATAAAACTACAAAAATAACTAGTGGTGCATGGCATTGTTAGGCCAAATGGATAAAACTTTCTGTACCAAAAATATTTTTTAAAAAAAAATTCAATTTTCTTCTAGAATTTTAGAAAGATCTATTCCTTATCTTCGCCAAAAACTAATCAGCACGTATTCTTATCAATACAAATCAAATGTTTTTTAAATTATTCAAATTGGTTGATGAAAATTTGTATCCGCACATAGACACATACACACATACATATACCCACGCACATACACACACATTTACATCAATTTTTTCTAAGGTATGCTAAAAAATTCAGAAACTTTTGAAACGTAAAGATAACTAAAAAAAAATATTTTAGATTTTTTGCGATTACTTAATTAAAAATTCATAGAAGGTATCATAAACTCAATACAAAAGTTTAAAACTGAACAAATTACCAAATAAAAAAAAAATGCTATGAATTTTGATACATTTTCGTCTCCTATAGTAAGTATTAAGATAGTGGCTAGCAACAAATCTTTTTCCTTCTACTCTAACATAGTATCATCAAAAAATCCATATTTTTTCTTTCGTAAGATATTAATGGTGGATCTTTATACCCGCAAACCTTTAAGCCCCGTTTTACCCTATAGATATATAGCAAAATATAAATTGAATTCAAAGTTAGTAACCAACAACTACGTCCAATGAACTAAAAATAAATAAGTGACTTTGAATAATTTAAAAGACATCCGTTAACTCGACAAGTATAAGTCGATAACTATTACTATTTTAATGGATTCCCAGTATTCGAAATAATAGCTTTTCTGCACTATTACGTTCACAAAGCCGCATTGCTGTCAATTATGATTCAAATTGTAGTTTAATGGTTAAAATGAAAAAAAATCTCATATATAGCTACGGATATGAAACGCAAAAAAAAAAAATTGCATATGTATATAAGCATTTGTGATAATAGATAAACATTTGTGAATGTGTCACTGATAGGTAATGCTAAAATATTTATTTATATCATTTGTATAATAATTGTGTAAAACAAACCTTAAGAGCCTCATCATGAGAAATTGCAGTGAAAGGCGTGCCATTAACTTCTAGTATTGAATCTCCGGGCCTCAGTCCGGCCCTTTCTGCTACAGAACCTTCCTCAACCCGTGAAATATACACCGACACCTGGAAAAAAGGATACTAAATTTAAAACATTTTTCACTGAAAATTAGATTAACTCTATTAGGTTAATTTATGATAATGTAAACAAAATTTGTACTTATTATTAAAGTTTTTATAAAATATCTGAAAATTTGGTGCATGTATCTTATGATCATTTTTAACGCCAAAATGGCATTTTTAACGTTTTTTATTGGATTTCCGAAACCGCTGGACCTGCTTTCGCAACAATTTATACAGTTCTTCATTCCGTAAATACAAGTGAATTTTTTTTTTGAGTTTTTCAAATCACACAAACCTATAGGAATTTAACATAATTTGAACTTAGTATTTAAATTATTATAAAATATTTGCGAATTTGGTGCATGTATCTAATGGTTATTTTTAACCCCAAAATGGCATTTTTAACGTTTTCTATTGAATCTCCAAAGCTGCTGAACCTGATTTCCCAACAATTTAACCAGATCTTCATTCCGTATATACGAATGTTTTTTTTTATTTAATTGCTGAACTCTCTGGTTGTCAATAGGAATCGAGTATTTTTTTGAATCATTCAAATCGGTTGATCAATGCTCCCAATATCGTTGACCAAAATTTGTATCCGAGCATACATACATAAATGGACAGACAGACTTACAAAAATTTTTCTAAGGAATGCCGCAATTTTCAGAGACCTCTAAAACTTAAAGATATACTAAAATTTTGTTTTCGATTTATTTTACGATTAGGTACTATAACTTACCCCACAGAAAAATAAATGACCAAATAATAATAGCCCTTTTGTAAAGTCTTTTATTAATTGAATTGCAATACTAATTCATATCGTGTATTAGATACTAGAAAGATTTTCCAGCTACATCGAACATTTAACCTTTTCCACTTGTGAATTGCGAGATTTATATGTATGTTGCCACCAGAGCGGCGGCATCCAAGTGGAAAGGGTTAAAATATCACTGAAAAACAAAACATCCTCATCCATATGCTAGAATTGGCAAACAAAAAGACTGCAGAAACTCAACGAAGTGAAAAAATCCATTACTTTTCAGTCTGAAGGGAAATTAGTGTTTATACAGGAAAAATAATTTTCGTGCTTGTGATTTATAATATATACACATGACGCGACGCGAAAAAAGGTATTTTTGTGATAAATGTCATGTTGACATGCATGTATTTTCTTCTTGTTGTTCTGAGAGTCAACCACTTTCTTGCTTTATATTTTAAATGATAAATATGTGTATGAATGTACAGTATATGATATCATTATTTATATATTTTATATGGCCATAGTATAAACGCAATAACAAAATAATTAACACATGGTATTTACCTTTAAAATGTTTCAGATGTTTCGATATAATTCTTCAAAAAGATATAAGTAAATATGAAGAAATTTAGAAATTGGTGAAATTACATTTTTAATAGCATGTTTAAATTAAATTAAAATTAATTAATAAAATAAAAAAATTAAATTATTGTTTTTATGTTTGTGATGAAAAATCATGTGTTTTTTATTAAGTTTCTTATTACCATTGCATAAAATACGTTAATGAGAAACTAACTCTTAAGATGTGAAAGTATCTTTCTCTATATTGAGAAACAATTTTAAAAATACGAAATGGTATTGGAATAAAAGCTACCTATTGTAAATCCAAGTCATAAGCAAGCTGTCGACTTGAAGTCATAAAACCCAAACAGTATTAAAACTATAGTCCTGACTTTTATTGCAGAATAGATTGTAAAGTTTTATTGCTGTTATCTAAGCCATATATATGATAAAACAAGGTCATAAAATAAATGTTAATTGGTTCACAGAATATCCTTTGCAGCATACAGAATTTTCAATTTATACCGTGTAAGTTGCAATATATGAATCATGTTCTTTTTAGAAATATTTCATTTGTATTGTATACATTCAACAGCAAATAGAATCATTACGTGATGATTAAATATATTATATTATATATATATATATATATATATATATATATATATATATATAAAAATTACTAACCTGCATCTTTTCCTCCTTTCACACAGATTCCAAAACCATGAGCACCATCCACAGGATCTCTACTCATAGAAACTGTTCGCGTACACAATTCGTGAATGTTGGGAACAGATTGTTGCATAATAGGCCTTTCACGATAAGTAGTAGGCTGAAAATAAAAAAAAATAAAATATTAAATATAAATTGAATTTTTTTATTTTTGACGTAAATTAGCAGCAAATAATGATCAAAATGAAAGAATTTGAATGGCTACTGCTTAAAAAGTCTAAGCTCTCTGTTGAAAATAAGTTGCTGCTATATAAATCAATTATTAAACCAATCTGGACCTACGGAATTGAGCTCTGGGGATGTGCTTACAAATCAAATATAGCTATAATGCAGAGAACTCAAAAGTTAAAATTTTCAAAGAATTTAAAAAAATTAGAAAATTGACGTAATCCACAAATAATGATATATACCAATGCAACTGCAAAAAACTATAGATTAGAGTAATCAAATGAAGTAAATGGATTAAAAAACCAATTAAAAAATATAAATATTCCAACAACTACCAACAATCGTATTTATTAAATAATTAAACTCTACTTTAAATGCACAAATTAAATTCATTTCAGTTCCTGCAGAAATATAGCAAAAGTTCACGATTGTTCTTTGTCAGAAGCAAACACTCCACGTTAATATTTTATTATCTGCAAACTTTCAGATCGCAATGAGTAAAAAAATACTAAATTTCATAGAAATAACTCGTATGCATAAAGTTTTGTGATAAACGAGATCCTAACAAACTTCAAAGTATTCAAAACTAATTTTATTATTCGAAATTAATATGAATTTTATGATCGTATCCCAAGCCTTATAGCTATGTAGAGTTGTTTTTTAGTGTAAATCTCTTTTTTGTAAAAAAGTTTGGTGCAATATCATGGTATAATAAAACTTGTGAAATAAATAAGCTCTGTTGGTTATTTCATATAGCAGAAATTCCTGGTATATATTTGATAATAAAACAAATTTTGTCATGCGGAAAATCAAAGAGAATCTTACATCGTCAGACATATATCGTGATAATAATGGATTTTTTATACTATTTATTAAATTATTTTGTAAAATTCATACTCCTTATTCAACATGCATTTGAAGACTTTACATGCAAGAATTGAAATGTTGAAATCCAATTGAAAAACGGAATTAATTAGATGAATTTAATATATTTGGTATAATAAGGTTCATTCATTAATTAAATAAAATATAATGATGAAACAATAATAATATGAACACAAGATTATTTATCGACGTGTTTAAAGCTAACGATTTAGAAACTGAAAATTTTCAAGTAAAATACATTAAAATGCGAATAGAGTATCCAAATCTAATTGGCCCAATCTGATTCTTCCCCAAAGTTACTACACGTGGACATACTAAACTATAGCGCTACTAAAAATCAAACAGCAACTTCACCAAACTTTTTACTTACAACCTAGTATTTAGAAAAATAAAACTTGGTGTTTATAATAATAAATATAGTGTATATAATCTATTATACCTGATGTGTCGTGCTCGGTGGACTGCTAGCCGGCGAAGGGCCTCTTCTGCCAGCCATGCGTTCCGTACCCGTTCTGGAAGTAGTTCCTTGGGGTCCAAACAGCCTCAGTACTTGTTCCGGAGAAATTGGGCGCTTTTTGGTGGCAGCGGATCCAGAACTCGCTGCGTGTCTCGTACTACCGCTGATTGATGAGACTGCACCGGTATTGGTGGTTGATGCACTTCCATAAGCACCGCCGTGAAAGTTTGATACGGAACCTCCTAACGCACCTGATGATTGCCCGAGATAGGAACCTCTGAAATAAATGTAATATATAACAAAAGCTACTAGTGTGTGCATCGTGCCTTAAGGCCAATTGCTGGAACTTCCCGTGCTAGAATGGAGTATTCGAGCAAAAAAAATTCAAAATAAATATTGATCAATGTATAATAACAATTGTTTTAAATATTTTCAAATAGATAATTATAATTACTATATATGTACTCAATCATATAACTAACATACAGTGACAATCTATTGCTCAAAACACTTGAAAATGTTAACACTAAGAAGAGATGCCGTGAATGAATCCATCTGAGGATATATTTCTTACAATTACAACAACGCATATGAAATATATACAAACTGAATTGTGAATTTAAAATTTATATTTAAAGTATAAAATTTTGCATATTTTTAAAAATTTTGAAAAAAAAAATTCTGAAATTTTTAGCAATGATATAATTTTATTTGAATTGTTTTTAAAAGTTAAAAATACATACACATTGGCTACATAGCCCAAAAATAAAGTAACAAAATTAGTACTCCTGTTTAAAATCTCTATAAAATATCTGACCATTTGATGTTCATATGCCTTATGATCATTTTAGACCGCCAAATGTCATTATTTTACATTTTACTCTATATCTCCGAAACCGCTGGACCTCCCTACCTAAAAATTTAAGCAATTCTTCATTTCGTCAATACAAGTAAAATGTATTGTCAATATAGTAAAATGTATTGAGAATAATTCAAATCCGACGTTCTCAAAAACTGAATTACCGTTTTTGGCACTTTTTGCACCATATCTTCGAAATGGCTAGACCTGGATTTGCCAAAAACTAATCAGCACACACATCTTCTCATCAATAGGAATAGAATGTTTTTGAGTCATTGAAATTATTCATTTAAAAAAAAATCGGTTGATTTCTTACGCCAGAAATCTTTGACGAAAAATTGTATCCAAACATACACATACATCCATTTTTTTTAAGGTATGGCAAAATGTTCAGAAACCTTTGAAACGTAAAGATATGCAAAAGGTAAGCAGTTAAGATCGACCGGACTGGATTCAGAGGTCCTGGGTTCGATACCCACATTGAGCAGCCTGTTGTCAGGTAGCAGTGACAATGATTTTCACTCAGAATTTATATATAGCCATATGTTTCCAAGTGAAAATAGCCCTTAATCCGGCATTGCAGCACCAAATAAAAAAAATCTCAGCCCTATTAGATAAATTCTAAAAAAATAAAAATCATCAAATATGGATAGATCAACCATCAACCATAACCAATTGGGTTACTATTTAAGAATACAAAATAAAGGAAAGTTTCAGTCTCAACAGCTTATAGGCCGTAGGTTCTGATTGCTGATAAAAAGTGGTGTGTAAAAATGTACTTTGCAAATTTGTTATTTATACCAAAGCTTAATAATCACAAAGTCCAATAGCAAATTTAAACTTTAATTAAAATATAATTAGTAAACTCACATAATTTTTTATTTTCCTTGTTCATTTTTATTTAGAGTATCGATTATTTTTGCATATATTTAACAAGAAAATGTATCTCTATAAATATTGTCTTGTAAAACTATACCCAAATGAAGCCATATGTTACCTTATCGAGGTCATATTAGTGGATAGCTTACGTAACACTATCTATATTGGTGAAGTATATAACACTTGCGAACAAAGCATCCCTTTCAGGACGTCCTGTCCCGGTTACAAAATAGGTGCTTGCTTCCGGGACCTCGACGGTAATATGATATTTCGTTTCTATTTATACACCTCGGTTATTTATAGCAAACCATTTTGAAATTCATAACAGCAAACCCTCTTCTGAATAATAACGGAGAGAGAGAGGACAAGATATTACAGAGAACATTCATGAACATCTGAATGGATCATTATGGGGTTGAAGCTTCTGATGACACGTAAATCTCACAAAATATAATTTTAGTTTTTCAAAATACTAGACTAGTTATGATCAAGGTGATTAGAGCAGCCACTTATGTAGACAAGCAAGGTACACTTTTGGTAATCATTCGAGGTAGGTGAAAATAAATGCTTGCACATATAAATTGCGATTGATTATGATGGGTATATGTTCTAGCAAAAAGGGTAGCAATATATAAATTTGAATATAAATACAATCACAAATTAGATAGTAATTTTATTCATTTTTCATGTTGATAAGAAAATCAATTACAGTCCACTATTTAAAACATGTGATCTCGCCTAAGTTACATAATGTACAATCAAGTATCACCGAATTATGTTATATTAAGAGGCATTTTACAAAATAAGTCAATAACTAGTGGGGCGCATGGCATTGTGCCTTAAGGCAAATTGCTGGAACTTACCGTACTAATAATTATTTTCTTTTAAAAAGATTAATATTTTTGAAAAAAAATTACTTTAAAAGCATTAGATTAGAAACTATAAAATTTTGACAAAAAATTACATTTTTTGAAAAAAAATGTTTTCCTTATTTTGAAATATTTTGGAAATTTTTGAACTTTTTTTCAAAGTAATCGTACTGCTTTAACTGCATAGAGACAAAATGTCAAAGCGCGTAAGCGCCGCGTCGCCGTCTAACGGATAAACATTGGTACGGAACCCATAGAAATGTAAACAAAATTTATACTTATTATTAAAATCTCTGTAAAATATCTGATAATTTGATGTGCATATGTCTAATGATCATTTTTGACCGCCAAATGGCATTTTTTTTACTTTTTTCACTAGATCTCCGAAACCGGTAGACTTGTCTTCATGAAAATTTGATCAATTCTTTATCTTCTCAATACAAGTGAAATGTTTTTTGAATTATTAAAATCGGACGCTCTGTTTTCTTGAAAACCGAGTTACGATTTTTTGACACTTTTGCCCCGTATCTTCGAAATGGCTAGACCTGCCTCCGCCAAAAACTAATCAGCATGTCTCCTGATCAATATAAATCGAATGTTTTTTGAATTATTCAAATCGTTTCATCCGTGTTCCCGAAATCGTCGACGAAATTTTGTATCCGCACACACATACATACACGCACACACACACACATACATCCATTTTTTCTAAGGTATGCCAAAATGTTCAGAAGGTTTTTAAACGTGAAGATATATAAAAATTTTCATTTTCGATTTTTTTGCGATTACTATAACTTGCTCTACGGGAAGTTAATTAAGGTAATTATTTAATGTATAAAGTTTCACATAAAACTTTAAAAATTTACAATAGCAAGTTCATTTAATATTCTTTCACACCACGTACAACTGCATATGCATTCAAATATAAATTGAAGCAAAAACATAGTTTCAAATATAGAACTTTATGAAACAGAACATTTTGTGTTACATATGCGCATTTTCAGAAAATTTAACTGGCTGCAAACGTATTCGAATAAATACGTGGGCACGACAAGAATTTCCATGTATATGTATTCAAAGAACCACAACCATGTTTTGTATGCCGTTAATTAAACATTGTATTATCCTTTGACATTAAATAGCAAAATTAGCGTTGTTTAATAAATGTAGAGGCAAAACCGTGATTGGACTAATGAAACATTTGAATTTATGGCATGATTTAAATCAAATGTATTAAAACTTGAATTAGTTTTGCAAATTTAACAAATTATCAAAAATGTTTGAATGGTTAAATTTTAATAACGATTCAGGAGCTCGAAAAAAAGTAAGTAATTATGCTTTTAAATTAGAACCTTCTTTAGACATGGCACAAAGGTACAATTTGACTTTGGACAATTATATTGCGTAAACCATTATATCACAACAAATAACAAATATCAAACCAGCAACTATCTGGCTATGTTCAGTGAAACTCCTAGCTAATTCACTATTGCAGAAATGTGTTTTTCTGAAAAATTCGTCACCAGGTCATTTTTGCCCTATAGACGGAGTTGAATGGGACGGCCAGAGAACAAACAATCCAATATTTTATCTTTAATTTTAAAGGGATTTAACAAAGAAATAACTGCGTTATTCAGACAATACAATCTTTATAGCTACATTTTTTTATAGAAATTACACTGCATTACAACTTAATTTAGTTTATTATTTACTATTATTAATTGTTTACACCTTTGCCAGGGTAAACGATTAGTTTATCCTCTTTACCCCGGTGGTGGACCTTTTTACCCGCGGACCTTCAAGCCCCGCTCTACTCTAAAGTTGAATTTGATGTGTAGGAGTGAACTGGGAAAATACTCAATTATAGATCAAACTTATTGAAATTCTTATTACTCTACTAATATAATGCAACTGTATTAAAAATCGGTTAGTCTCCACATAGATAAACTCAAATTATCCCAAAATTTCCATTTATCAATGACGTTAGCATCAAATCAAATTATGCATGCAAATTTTCATCCTTCATCACATTATAGTATAGAATAAGCAATTTCTAGTTGACATATTCATACGCCCCTTAAATTCTGCAGATACGTAAAAAACAGCAAAAATAATCTCAATTTGATGTCACAAAAAGCTGGACTTTAAGCTACCATTCAATTTTTTGTCAAAATCACAAATCAGAATATATTATGAGACATTGTTGAAGGATCATAAATAAATAGTATTTAAAACACGTGAAAAACTTCGCAAGAAAAGCGTGAGATAGATTACTTTCACTATAATTTTTTGATATCATATTAAATAGATTTATTTATAATTATTATAAATATTATACTTTCAACATTGCCTCAATTGGAATTCTATTTTTTCATGAAACTCATGACACAAACACATGTATTTCAATCGTAATGCGGTGTTTTCCCAGGATGAGAAAGTTATGGAAATATCTAAGCCACATTTATTGCTCCGGAAAGTGACATTGGAAATATTGTAAGAAAAGTATATTGGAATTCTTCCAATAGTATGTTTCAGATGCGAATATACGTGAAGCTGATATATAGGATTCCTGAACTAAAACTTTGTTCAAACAAATAAATAAGAAATATATAAGATATACATACATATATATATATATATATATATAATATATATATACTAGATGATCCGACAGACGTTGTCCTGTACCCACGTCTACAATTTAAGTTCCAAATTTTTTAATATTCTGTCCTATACTTTAATGTCTATTTTTGGTCTTAGCATTAGCTGTATACGTATTGGAAACTGCAGTTTTTTGATCAGTATAAAAAACTCAGAAAGAATAAATATAGTATCTACGACAAAAAAACAATATCGTCTTTGATATTTCCAACCAATATAATTGCTTCAATGATTTATATAATATATCATAGTCTATAATTTTTATAATCGCGTACCCTATATTAGTTGCTTTTTGGCAATTACAATTTCTAATTTCTTCTTCATTTTTTTCTCATTAACAATTTAATAAACATTATTTCTTTAGTTAAAATCTTCATGATGCAACAAATGAATTTTTGACACTTAAAACAAAATTCTAAATCATTTTTTCAATAAGTAGAAATATTAATAAATAATTTAAAGTATTTAAATGATTTAGTAAAGTAAAGCAAAATACAACATGCATATGTTGAAAAAAATAATGTATATGCAATTTTGGATGTATTGTGTTATTTTTTAAACTAAATTATATATTTTCTACTGACAAACATATATTGTATCTTATATTGTTTTAATTTCTGGCACACTTCATCTGGTTTTTGGCAATAATATTGTATATATTACATTTTTAGATATTATATACTAACATTGTCTAGGCTCGCTTAAACTAAATTCAAATTCCAAGTGAATCGAAATTTTTGCCATATGACAGTTCTCATAAATCAAAATGTTTTCAATATCAAACCAAGATATGTTGTTTTCTGCATTTTTTTTTCAATTTATTTCTACAATATTATTTTATTTTGATAACCAAATACATCCTAAACGACATCTTTCACAAACTTCAGAAAGATTTATCAAAATCCGAATAAACGTTTAGGAGGAGTATATTTACATACATCATTAGAGAAGAATTTTATATACAGTGTGTCCTAGAACTTAACTTCAAATGCAAAATCGGTTGATAATATTTATCATAACTCTTATAGATCACGTTGAAAAATCATATCACATTGTTTGAAAATTATGAGCTGTAAAGTGCTTTAAACTTTAGAACCGTATCGATTTATAACATGTCTAAGTCCAAGAGCCAACAATAAGAACACAATAACCCCAAGTTTTCAAGAATAAATACTTTTTGTTAAACTATAAATTTTAAATTTTCATAATTTATCGACTTGGAGAATATCCCCTTTAAAAAAGTGCTGTAAATTGTATTGGCAAGTTCCAACAATATTTGTCAAGTTTAATCAGAATGGTGAAATGTTGAGATACTTTATAGTTTCATAATAGAAGAAACGAATAAAAAATAAAAATCTAAAACTTTGTGTTAGACGGCAGCTATGTGGCTTATGAGTTACTGTAAAAATAAAAAGTAGTGTACCTTTAAAGCTGTCTTTAGCTTATTGAAACTGTAGGGTTTCGTGTGTCTCAAGAAAAATCACCTTGTTTGATAAAAGAGATCAAGTCGTATGTTACAAACTTTGAAAAAATAACATATTAGTATTTGTGTACCATGCAAAATGGATATATTAAAACTTGGGTCTCAAGAAAATTCATCTTGTTTGGTAAAAAATATCAAGACTTAAAAAAACAACATATTTGGGTTTGTGTACCACGTTCGCAAATGTATTATATATATTTAATATATAAATATTTTTGTAAATGCATTGAAACTTCTTAATATTTTACCAAGTTGTTGCAAAGATACCAGAATACTATTACATGAAATTAATAATTAAAAATATGTTTTTTACCTCGATGATCTTTTGTCTGCATAGTGCTGCTGATGGGGTGTATGAGGCCTAGATGCGCTGGCAGGCCTTTCCACTATAGTGTAGCTGGTACCAGGAGGCGAATAGTATAAACCAGGCCGAGTTCCAGGCCTCCCGTTATGTCTGGACATGTCTTCGGCTTCATAGCTTGTCCTGAAACATATTTCATGTTAATACTTTACTTTAAATCTAATTTTCCTGATAAATATTGAAGTATCTTAGCTATCTTCTATATATATATATAAAAATAAGTCGGGTTTTCCTTCCTGGCGATTTAACTCGAGAACGCACGAAACGATTTCGACAATTTTGCATTCGTTGAAAAGGTCTCGGTCTCCGCAAGGTTAATAGCTAAGAAAATTGAAAAAAAATTCAACAGAAAAGCGGAAAACATTTTTTTTCTTTTTTTACATACGGCGTCATCTCTGATGTACTACAAACTAATATTTTTTGTTTGACTGCTACTTATTTGTCATCAAATCAATCAAGTGTATTGTGCAAATTTTTATTCAATTTCAACAGCAGGCAATTTTTTGCTTCATCTTTTAATCACCGCACGAAATGTTACATAAAATGAAACCATCTGGTGGTGAAACGGAGTTCGCCGGGCTTACTAGTTATTTATAAGAAATTATTTATGAGTAAATAGTTAAGATTATATCATTATCATTAAAATATTGTGGATATTATAACGAATGAAAGAACAACTATTGAGTTGTAAACGATGTCCCTTTACATCTGACAATTTGTGAATGCCCCAAATTTACTAAATGTCATTAACTGGTCAGTTTTAAGTAAAATAGAAAATAAAAAAAACTAATGCAAATTCGACGATAAATACATTACACTACATTTAAGAATATTTAGAATATTTAGGTGAGCTAATCATAAGAACATATGCGCCTAGTAGCATATATACGAATTAGAATTCTTATTACCTGTTTGCGATGGCGGTAGAATGGTGAGCAGCGTGCGTTGCCGACTGAGGCCCAGTGGCGGCAATGGGTCCTGGTGTACGACCCCAACTTTGACCCCCATGAGCAGACCCCCAACGACCACCGCCACTGTAAGCGAATTCACTCAGTTCGCTGCCGTCGGACGGGTCGCCTAAGCGCATCTGAAATAAAATCATTAGAGATTAGGATAGTGGTTAGAGCTATGGGTATACAATTATAAACTTCAGGTTTAATACTCGTTGTATCAAAGTAGTAAAATTGGGTTCAACTTGGAAATATAAATATCAATATGTATTTCATCAGAAGTTAACCATACGTCTCTACTATTAGGGACATTCTATTAACAAATTCTATAAAGCACCGTTTAAAGAATCACAACAAACTTACAATATTAACTTTTCTCTTTGAAAACATTAACAAACAATTTGATTTATTAGTGAAAATTGAATCGTCCTTGAAAGTCGAAACAAGACTTGCTTCGACTTTTATAGAGGTTAATAAGCAAATTTATCAAAATGTATGTCATTTTTAGTATCATATATGTAAAACACATTATGAAGCTTTCAAGAATAGTTTATAGTAACAATGATTCGAATATCAAAACACATTAATTTATCATTTTCAAATGATCTATTATTCTAGCAGTTCGCATCACTGGTATGGTAATGTTAATCATAAAACAAAATTAGTTTCACAATAAATTTAGCAGAATATTTGAAGCGTGAATAAAGTCCTGATTAATATTCATTACGCCATGTAGACTATTTTCTGGAATACATCTTCATTAATACGTTTATAAGATTACATCTATACCACCGTTGTATGATAACGCAAACCGTGGAGGAAAATAATTTATTTAAATGAGAAGCACTACAAACTATGGCAAGAAAACATAGTTATTATAAAATGAAAAACAAATTTAATTAGTTTCTATGTTAATTTGGAATTTGTGGTAGATATCGTATATAGATATATTAATCCTTTCCACTCGGATTCGCGAGTGAAAAAGATTTATATCGATCAATGATCTATATTTGAGTATTTGACCTATTCTATCATAAATAGGGTTCTAGTACTTATTGTTAGGTATAGTCAGAAGAAAAACCTGGCTAACTGAATCCTAATTTGTTAGATCATATTTTAAATTACAGATTAAAAAAAATCCTAATAACCTATTTTAGGTATTCTGATAAAAAATCATTTTATTTGTTTCTTTGGTTTTTGTATTACCGTTACTATAATAACTGCATCACTGGACCTAGTTCTTAGAATTTGATTGTTGTATTCTATGAACAATTGATATTTGATTTGATGTCTTATCTAGTTGGTTGATCAACAAAATCAAAAAATTTTTATTCACCTATGCCGTGTGTTCTTGGTAAAATTGTTGGTAAAAGTAATTTAAATAATATCAGTGGTTACAGTCCTCTAAAAACAAACAACAGTTCTTGAACAAATGCCATATCATGGGCACGATAAAAACTTAACACGTGGTTTGTGGTACAACTATGGTTCAATTTCAACTTGTGCCAAATTTTGCTGGAAAAGACTATGACAACATTGGCAATTTTTGCTTAAATACTGAAACAAAGTATTAAACTAGAAGCATTCTACCTTAGGGCAAATTGGTGGGCATTTTATAAAAGAGTATAAATTTCATATTTATTTCTTTAGAAAAAAATGCAAAATATTAATCATTTTTTATATTGATTATTTATTGAACTATTGGTTTCCATTTAAAAATTTATAATTTTGTTAATATGATCAATTTATGATAAAATCAAAATCATTTATTTCTGCAATTAATCAATAGTTTTAATCTTCTATCAAATAATATAGAGAAGCTACGAGCTTAATGTACCAGTTTCATTTTTATTTAATATATAATGAGATCAACTGATTATATTTCTTCGAATTAAAGATGGATAGTCGCTATAACTATTCTTCTATCAAATCAAGTAAAAATAATTCTACAACTGTTGTTCATTATTTCACAGTTAATCATTTTCTAGAAAAAGTGTGGTGTTACAAATAGCCCCATTTCCGTGGTCAGTTGTAACACCGCACTTTTTTCACCGGCAAAGTAGTAACGACAAAAAATTACAATAATACTCTGACAAATTTCTTATTAATTAAATCCTAATCATTTCCTTATTTTTAATAAAATGACTAATTACTAAGTAGTTTTTCTCATAAACTAAAACTAATAGATACAAATAAAATGTATAATGTCTCATGTTATATGAATTTTTGGCCCTAGCACCATTAGCTATAATTAAAAAATATATATATTTTATATATATTCCATAAATAGCCTTAAGTTAGGTAAAGATTTTAATCCTAATACTGAAAGTTCTCTTGCATATTTGAAATAATTATTTTGAGAGAATCTTACGAGATTCCTATGTGATTCTCATAAGAATTTGTAAAATTATCATTTATTTGCACGGAACTCAAACTATGTGATATGAAATATATTCAAAATAATGAACACTCCATTTGTTAAGACTATGAGCTCTATCATCATACCATAGAATCACCAATTTTTTTAATAATAATTAATGGACCGGCCATTTGTTTTCTAATTTTAATCTCAAACGTTTAATAATGAATTGATGTCGAGAAATCAAAAAATCGATTTTTTAAGAGCCACACAGTAAATAATCCTTTCATTGCTCATTACTATTATTATTCAGTATTATTTTTCAGGATCTTTTCCGAGTATCTGACTGTCCTTGACCGAGCGCGTATGGATCGATATCTGCCGGGATGGTGCATGAGATGTAGGTTAAACAACACAGAAAAAAACAAGAAGATAATCTGATACGACAACTAATTGACTTGGTTATAAAGTGTAAAAGTGGCTTCAAAGAGAAGGAAAACATCCAAATCCAAAGATTAAAAACATGTTAATACCACTGGGAGAGCAACATCATTATCAGAATCTCACAAACAGGACAAAAATGATATGGGATCGTTCTGTAAAAACAATATATGATCATTTATAAAAATTACTGGAAAGTTGTAAAAATGATTCTGAAATTTATGAATCAATATTTTGCATATAAGAAAAAAATCTAAAAATGTAATAATGATAAAAATAAAATACATAAGTTGCTAGTTAGTAACCCCAGCATATGACATTATAACATATTGTGATTCTAAGTTAATTAATTACTAGCACATAAAATTTATTAAGTTTTAGTAGATTTGAATATATATTTCAAAATGTGAAAGTTATTTTGAGCAATGCTATTTGCTTCATATTAAAAATTATATTTCTATAGCTATATAATAGAAATATAACTTTTAGAAAGTTTATGAAAATGGATGAATAGCAATGTGGGATCTAATATGAAAATTAAATATTACAAGTCAGCTTTGTGGATCTATCACAAACTAGAAGTTACTCAACTTCTTAAGACACCAATTTCAAGAAGACTGAAGAAGAATCTGCCCAAAGATAATATTGAAGACCCTTAGAACTACCACTTTGTATATATGAACAGAATTGTTGAATCACTTATTGAAGTGACTAACTATTAATATAATATTTATCACAATAATTTATATGTGTGTTTGAAAGTGTGTATATGTGTGTGAGTGAATGATATAAGCCAAATAGCTCATAGAATTGTACTGTATTCTGATTGCTATTGAAAATAAAATTATAAAAATAAAAAGTTTTGTGAACCATTTACAATTCATTTTTACATGGAATGTGATCAAATTGCAATTATTTTTTCAATTCATTATTTATCTATTTTTTTTAAGATATCACTGTACTAGCAAGTTGTATAGAAACTTTAAAGTCTTTACAATTTTATTGAATGCCCATTTAGAAAAATTTAGTACAAAAAAATATTTTCAATTGAAAATAGCTCATTTCGGGCACTGCGGTGTGAAATGGCAATAGGAAATCTTTCACACCATTCTTCCCTGAACCAAGTTCGAATTTAACTCAAACGAACCAACCCTAGGGTAGTACTAGGGTACCATATACATAATATCCAGTTATTTTATATATTGGACATATTTTTTCATATCATGGCTAAGACTTTATACTCACATCATGAAGAATTAATCTAATTCCATCAATTTGAAAAAAATGAAGGAATAATTAACAAACTGATCTGAAAATGTATTAGCAAGTTTAAGATAAATTCAAAAAGTGCAAACTATACTCAAATAAAGGAGGCTGTTTATTATAAAAACTATATAAAAATAATATTGTATTTTTTATCAACACAATAACTATATCTACAAATAATCAAATTATTTATCTTGACCTAATACAGGTTTGAGTTAATTAACTTCCCATAGGGTAAGTTAAAGTAATAGCAAAAAAATCGAAAATGAAAATTGTTTCATATCTTTACGTTTTGAGGGATTTTGAATATTTTGGGATACCTTAGAAAAAATGGAATTGAAATTGAATACAATTTTTCTTCCACGAATTCGGGCGCACGAATCAACCGATTTGAATGTTTTAAAAAGCATTCGATTTTCATTGATGAGAAGACGTGCTGATCAGTTTTTGGTGAAGACAGGTCTAGCCGATTCGAAGATACCGAGCAAAAAATACCAAAAACGGTAATTCAGTTTTTGAGAGAACGGAGTACCCGATTTGAATGATTCAAAAAACGTTTTACTTGTATTGGCAAAATGAAGAATTGATGAAATATTTATAAAAAAATGATATTTGGCGATCAAAAATAATCATTAGACATATGCACATCAAATTATCAGATATTTGATAAAATGTTTATAAATTAGTACTAAATTTACTGCAAATTTATTGGGTTTCTTTCCAAGATTGTCAAGTGTTAATTTTTTAAGTTCACTTATACGGTTCAAGCTAATTTCAAAACTTTCAGAAAAAATATACAAAGATTTATAGTTCAAATATGATTTTTAAATTTACTATTCAGTTTAAAAATATATATATTTTAAATGCGTTATTCTAATAATAAGAAATATATCCTCAGATGGATTAATTCGGCACCTCTTGCTAATGTAAACTTTCTCAAGTGTTTTGAGCGATAAGATCGTCACTGTATTTCTTGTAAACGATAAAATATTTAGTGATTATAATTATCTATTTAAAAATGTTTAAAACATTGATTAATATTTATTGATTACTAGTTTTATCATATATTAATCTATATTCTACGTAGTATGCCATAATTAAATTAAAAAATATTTCCATGTTTATCGATTAGTATTCGAAGAGCGCGGAGTTGGCGATGATAAAATTAGAAATCTTTCGAGACTCATCGATCGATTAAAAACTTGAAATGTAATAACGGTTCCGCCATAGCATAATGATAAAATGCTATTAGACGAATTCCAATCAAGGCAAAGGGTAGTAATATTATGAGAATATATACTTTGCGTGCTTTTTAATCTATTCCTTGCCTGCGTTAAAGAAACGGAAATAAGAATCTATAGACAGATATTACGTCCATTCACGCGACTCTAAATGATTTCAAATTTATCTGTCTGGAATGAAATTAAACGCAATGCGTAAAAAATAGAAGAAATCCATGAAAGAATTCTAATATTTTACCCGATTTATTTGTAAATCAAAAATAATAATTAAAATTTATCATTCAAGAAAAAATTATTCGAACAAGAAATTTTCTAACAAATGTATATACTACTTTTATTGTGAGACCTATACATCCTGAACCTCGATTTTGTTTTTGACTAGCCACAATTTTGTTAATTTACCAGCTGGGTGAAAATAAATTAAATGGTAATTTCAATATTGGTCTTCGTAAAAATACTAAAATACTGTCTTTAAAAACGATAGATTAGTTATAAAATCAAATTATACAAATAAAAGGCGAGTGTCACAAAGGTCCCTAGGAGTGTATAGACAGACATTAAAATAGGTTAATACGATAGGTATGAACATCAAAAATGGTTTATTACAAATTTTATTATCGTTAATAACAATAATCTGTAACTTATTAAAAATTATTAAAGCTTATGAATAATATAACAATATATAACAAAGCATATTTTTTGACCAAAGTTAACAAGAATTCTTTGTAAAATCTTTTGTGCTTTGTCTTAGTTTTTTTTATTTTTTGAACAGCAATCAGAACCTTACGTGCTATGAGCTCTTGGGCTGAAACTTCTCCTTACTTCGTATTTTTTAGATGGTAACCCAATGGTTAATCCATCCATATTTGATGATTTTTTGTTATTAGTATTAATAGGGCTGACATTTTATTGGTGCAGCAATGCCGGGCAAGGGCTATTTTACTAGGAAACATATTGCTATCTATATTTTCAAGCGAAATCGTTGTCACTGCTGCGTGACAACAGGCTGCTCGAAATGGGTATCGAACCCGGGACCTCTGAAACCAGTCCCGTCGCTCTTAACCGCTGACCAACGGGCGAGCGCTATTTTTGTCTTGGTTTTTTTTATCTGTTTCATCTTCACAAGCAATAATGGAAACTTGTTCGAACAATCATACTTTATCTTTCTCTCTTTGGTCCGTATCTCAAAATTCCTATATCAGTATAATTTAGCTGTTATGACGACTGTCACTACCGTACCCTGGCACAACCGTACCCAGTTTTCTCTAGTTTAATATTTATAATGATCTCATACTTGCCACTTTTTGATACCAGGATATGCTACTCACTATATTCTTAAGTTTTAACAAAAATTATTTATTTTTTTGTTGTCATAATGATATTGCTTCTTAACTACTGTTTTTTGAGAAGGCAACAAAGTAGTTGTCCTGCGCATATATCGCAAATATATATTTTTAGCTTAATGCAGCAAATTCAAAAAAGACTATTTCATCTTGGAAGCATTTATCAATCTATATTTTCCAGGTAACACTACTAATTGATATCAGGTTGTCCGAAACGCGAATTTAACCCGAAAATTTCTTGATTACAAAGCCAGGCGCTCACAACTGAAATATCTTTTTTACCCATGAAAAATGTATAAAAAAAACTAACCAGCACACCGACTTTTTTAACCACACCCAATGATCCAAACCCTGCTTAATGATCATATTGTTGATACAGGAATTATATTTAGCCTAGTAACAAATGTACCAAGTACATGTGGAATTGAAACTCAATCACAAAAATTAAAAAAGATGCATATTTATAACTTATAAATATTTCGGTAAACCAGAACTCATTTATTTTATATGGTCTTTAATTACTGTACTGTACAGAATTATTATTAGAGGTATTTACTCCTGATGCTTTAGCAGTTAGAAAAGAGTTAATAAAACAACTAATTCGATATTAAAAAGCATGAAGCAATTGAAACAGTAAACTTTTTATTTAATACTTCTGCCCTGTTTCTGGTTGATTTATTCACCACATTTATTTTGTTCCGTCGTTATCAAGATAGGAAGTTAGGCGCCGGGCTTTTTATCCACGCACCCGCCCAAGGTAATGAAAACATTTGACATTTCAAAACAATTTCGTCTAGTCACAAAATCATCCCTAAGTTGGGGCCATTATCATTATTCTTACATTATAGGGCATAAAATTTAATAATAATATAAATATAAGTTGTTAGTGTGATAAGTAGGTACGTAGTATTAGATGCAATGTAATGCAAAGTCATCGAGACAATGAATTTTGATAATTCAATTGCTTTTTGGATTACTTCTTTTTAGATGTAGTATATATCTTAAAAGTAGCTATAATCATATTTCAACCAAATATAAATAATTCACAATATTATACATGAAAAATAAATCAGTAATCTTAAGAAAATTATGATATAAGAGATGCACACTTAATGACGAGAATTTTTCTAAAAGCAATATTTGTCCCGGATTTAGATCTTTTGTCCCAGATTATCCCAGATTTTTGGAAAATTAATACGTAAAATATCAAAAAATATGAAAAAATTCTATTTTTTCTCAAATTAGTTAAGAAGAAAATTGTACAACTATCTTCTGTAACTTTACCTTAATTTAGTCAAAATATTTTTTTTAATTAATTGCAATTATGCATATTTATAAGGTCCCGGTTTGGTTTTTTAAAAGCAATATTTGTCCCGGATTTAGATCTTTTGTTCCGGATTGTCCCAAATTTTTGGAAAATTAATACGTAAATTAAAAAAATTATCAAAAAATATAAAAAAATGCTATTTTTTTTCAAATTATTTATGAAGAAAATTATATAGAATTATATACAAAGCTCAAAGGCAAAAAAACACAAACATCATATTGTATATAATAAAATATTATATATGATCGAATAATAAAGTTTGTACTAAAAGTCCGCAATACTGATTAAAAAAAATTATATAAAAAACTGTTTTTTGTTGTATTTTTAAACAGCGTTTGTTATTAGCGCCCCCCCCCCCATTTCCGGCTTGGAGTAACTGAAAATTATCGTCCCGATTTTGACTTAAAAAATATGGTCACCTTAATATTTAGTGTGTTTTAAAATTCTCAATATCAGGAATGCATTTTTTCTTTAAGATTAAAACCATTTTTCTGACAAAATCGTGAGTAATTACGTATAAAAATACTTTCTATAAAATTAAGAAAAAAATCTTTTGTTTCTTTAAGTTTACAATCCATTATAAGTGACTGACATTCAACAAAGACAATTTAATGAAAATATAGAAACTTGTATTACAATACAAGTATATATTTAATTTGATGATGAACGATCTCATAATAATTCTGAGCGCAGCACAACAAATTCGAAAAACTCAAAGTTAAAATGAGTATTTGATTTATTTCACTAAAGTTTTGAACTGGCAAGGTGATAACTTTTTCAACTGTGCATTTTCCCAGTAATCGGTTAAAAAAATAAATTCTATAATCTACGTCTAATGTTTGTATTTCAAACTGAATTTTCACTTTAATATATCAACTATACATGAAGTATATAATTATTGTATAATAAGATATTACTAATTAAAGGAATAAAAAATAAACCACCATCAAAGCAATTCTGCTAAAAATGCTGTGAAAAAAATCTGTAGAAAAATTGTGCATATTTAAAATATTCTATATTTTAATTATGTATTATTAATGGATGATAAAAAACTCTAATGAGTTTTGAAAAAAATATTTGAAAAGTCGGAAGATCAGTAACTTTACGTTTATTGCTGAAATATATATACTTATAAAAATACTAGACGTGTACACATTTTACCTTTAAACCAGCAGTAAGAATTATCTACTCCCTGTCTATTATTATATCAAGATACTTACTAATTGTTATGTTATTATTTAACAGATAGCTATAAGAAGGCAACTCAATAATCGGCTTATCTATAATTGATTTATTTAGAATTTATATAAGGCATTTGAAGTAGAAGTAACACTGGCTACTTCTACTATTGTCATATGTAATTTAAATAAATTTTCTATAAATTTAATAAATGTCGACTAAAGACATTTGTAAATTATATGGAGAAATAAAAAATATATATTTATAAAGTCAACCTTAATAGATAAATTCTAATAATCAAATATGGATGGATTAATCATTGAGTTACCATCTGTAGATACGAAGTAAGGAGAAGTTTGGTTTGAAAGTCCAACAGCTCGTAAAATGGAAAGGTTTTGATTATTGTTAAGATATGAGAATAAAAAAAAATATATATAATATTTTGATCCATATGTTCAAGTGGAAATGGAAAATTTGAATGTGCAACCTTGGTAGTAGCAATGCTTCTGTAAAACTAATTTTAACTGCTAATTGTGAAGAATCGCTAAGACAAATCTTATTAACATAATTGAGCAAATGTAGATATCTTACAAATTATGTCAATTTAATATAAGTTTATCGATATAAGTAACTTAATCATGAATTCCTACCTTCCGGCTACTAATAGCTCAAATCACGCACATCACTGCTTTGCAAACAGTTTTCACTAAAATGTCTTTTTTTCATTTTACTGAAAAGTCAGCTAGTCCTCATCTCAATTTAGTGTTTTTTGAAAACATTTAATAAATCACCAAAACATGCTTGTTCCACACAATTAATACACAATCTGGTAATAAAATCAATACATTAAATATTATCACTGGTAAGGAAAAATTTAATTTCACAAGTGTAACAATTTTGAATTAATTTAATTATTTTAATTTGAGAAGTATGTTGCAATATCGCGTATGATAGATTATTCATTAATAACAATTATAATATAATTATATATAATTATATATATATATATACATATATACATATTCTTAAGAATTTTTAGATAAATTGTCGAAGTGACAGACACGATAATAGGTCTAAATTAAAAAACAATAAATACCTGTAAAATTTATTGTCTACTTTTCTACACTGTATGTGTTTGTTATTCAGCAGTTCTAACACAAATTTTACAATAATTTAAATATAAATTATAAAAAAAAGAAGTTTTATTGTGTTTATTTATTTATTCCAGAACAATGTTTATTCCTTATGTATTTCCTGGTATCTTATGTGGGGGCCTAGGGGCTTATTGTAACATGAGTAAGTAGTAGCAGATTTTTAATATGATCTTAAATGATATTAATTTTTTTGTCTTGTCTTTGATTGGACATATAAAGTGTTCTGCATGATATTGTCGTAGCTACTGTACCACAGGGAGATGCAGTAAACAGACTTGTGCAGGTGCGTTATTTTGGACAGGTAATATGCATATCTATCATAAAACTTCGGTTTTTGTTCTTATAATCAACTGAAGTGATTTTTTTTTATATCTTAATTAGGTTAAAATCTATCAATCTTTGATAACGTGAAACAATTTTCGGGACTGCTAAATTGTTTAATTTAGCTTGTTAATTAAGTTACATTGCTTAATGTAAAAAAATCACACCAGAATTAGTAGAAACAAAACCTTGGGGCCAGTTGTAGCATACGAGAGATTAGAAACATTTACATATAATTAAATACATATACAGTTTTAATAGAAAAAGATTTTCCTGGATGTATACCTTGTAAAATGTGAGCACATGTAAATGAAGTTACAGGGGACACAATATCTTTTCTGTGTATTATGATAATAATTGTAATTTATGTTGATTTATGATAGAAAAATTATCTTATAAGATACATTATATATTTTATTTCTATTAATCATAGCTTGCGTTGGTTTATCAAAAGAATTACTGTGAATTCAGCCAATTTTCTTAAAAATGGTTAAATAATAAAATTACCTGGTTAAAATTCGTTATCAAATGGTTAAAATAATAAACAGAGATATCATTGTCGTTACTACATGCCCTGATAGTTACAACAAAATTGTAAGTTGTAACACCAAAATTTTCTGTAGGAAATGATTAACTGTGAAATAATGAATGGTTAAAGAATTATTTTTACTTGATTTGGTAGAGGATTAGTTAAAGTATATATTTAGTTTTATTTCGTAGAAATATATTATTATTTCGTAGTCGATCTCAAGATATATTAATTTAAACAAAGCCCCCAGCTCCCATATTTAATCATTTTTTAAATTTTTATATTTCCAGCTATTATTTATTCATGACAAAAATCTTAAAATTATTGTATATATTTCTGGAACTGCTGTATTATAACACACATAGAATGTGGAAACGTACACAATAAATAATATAATCATTTATATCGTATTTTATTTCAGCAACTTGGATGAAAAAATTATACCAAAATTATCCACGTTGTGTGAAATTTAAGAAGTTATCTTAACCCAGTGGCAACGTGATGTGTTTTATATTACAGGCACAATAAATCTTATTGACACTAGCACTGTAAAACACTGAACTGTGGTTCCAATATCACAGAAAAATTACATTTCGGTAATCTTCAGCACAAATTCAAATAAATTCACTCAGTTTTAATTGTTATCTTTAATTTTCCTTCGACACGAACCATCTCTGGTTAGGAAGTAAATGTGTTTTTCCCACAAAGACGGACGTGAGTGATCCTGGCGACATGAATTGTAATTATAGGAACTAAGGGTAGAGTGCGCGCATGCGATTCCGTGCCGTGACGTTTATAAGGAATCAATAGCGGGCGAAATACTATCTATGGCCATGACACTATAAATTCTTGAATTATATATCGTCGACCTTGAGACAAATTATTGGGCATTGTTAAGAAAGAATCCTAAGCAGGATTGTTATCTAATACGATACTGATAACAATCACGCACCTAGACTTGGAAATTTGAAAACAAACTAGAGCTACACACGAATTGAGTAATCCTAATCAAACATACTGGGGCTTTAATTATATATATTAATATAATATATATATGTATATATATATAATATATAATTTTACTTTAATTACAATCTATCATACTAGCACTTCAATATTTATTTTGACTTTATTATTTAGATTTTGAATGGATGGCAGCCCAGTAGTTGGCAATCCAGTTGTGGCTAATTAACTATACTCGAAGTATTTATTGACATTTTATTTTATATAAGCAGCTATACCCATGAGAGCCGATTTTCACCTGAGACTATATTTGAGAACCTCAAGTGACATTTGACACCAAACCTGCCTGATGTCGGGCTTTGGCGGTAGCGGGAATCGAACCTGCGAACCCGGGGGACTAGGTTGGGTTAGCCCACATTCGAACGGTTTACGCCACCGCTGGGCGCCCACTGGCAATTTTATTTGACAAAAAAAATTAAATGTTTATAATTTGTTTCAAGGTTTGATAATTAATATATGTAGGTAATGATTGTACTTCATTTTTTAATTATTAATTTTTGCCAAATCAATTAGGCACTTACATATCTCACTTTTTCACTTTCCTTAGGAAAAGTTATAGTAATCGCAAAATAATCTTTTTTTTTTATTTCTATAACGCAGCAAATGTGCAAAAAATGAAATGTGCATCCAATTTCAATAATTCAAATAATTTTTACTTGTTTTGACGTTTTTTACATTTTTCAGAAGGCAGATCCAGCAGTTTTTGTAGTTTCAGAAATGTTAAAGATTTGTAATCATTGATCATCATTATTGATTCAAATACACGTAGAAATATTGGTACGCACTTGACAGGTAAAGACAAATACCAATCAAAGACACAGTCAAGTACTTGGGTATTCACATGGATCGGCCAAAATAAAACAAATTAAACTTACACTTTAAAAATACACTTACTTTACACTTTCAAAATTAAATTGGCTTATTAGTGAAGATCAAATTATCATTAGATAATAAGCTTTTTTTTAAGTTATAGACCATAATTAAACCTGTGGTGTGACGTATGGATTTCAACTGTGGACATGTAGTAAATCAAATGTGGGACTTGTTCAACGATTACAATCTAAAACAACTACGGACGATTACTGATGCCCCGTGGTGTTTTGTCAGCAATAAAATCATACATGATGACCTCAACATCCCTTTTCGTAGTGGATGTCATCAAAAATACCAGTACTGGACATCATGCTAAATTTTCGATCATCCTAATGCAACTTGGCTTGATAATCCACCTATAAGAAGACTACGCAAGAAACAGTCTATAGACTTAATGTAAAAAAATGTTTTCCATAGTCAATTGCTTAAATTACTACTATTTGTTTTTCTTTTTTCTTTTATCTTTTATTTTTCTTTATTTATTTCTTTATTTTTATATTTATCTATTTTTTTATTTATTTATTATTATTATTTTTTTTTATTTCTTTCTGCGATTATTTATATTATTATTGCGTATTATTAATTCATCCATATAACTCATAGGGTATGTAAATAACTCTGATTGTTATATAATATGAATGAATAAAAAAAAACATGAAAGGTAGACTGGTGGATAGACAATTTGACAAGTAGATAGGTATTGAAATAGGAATATGAAGAGTTAGGCAGGTAGACAGGCTGGCAGATTGGCAGGTTGACTAACTGACATGTTGACAGGTTAAAAGTGTAATGCAAACAGGTGTGCAGGTAAGCAGGTACAAAAGTAAACCAGTTGACAACTATGATAGGTAGATACTTAGACAGGTAGTCACTTAAACTGGTTAACAAGTAGGCAGCTAGATCACATATAATAAAAAAAATTATTAATTAAATGATTATTTACACATATTGGTAATGGATCACTACTGCTTGATATAAAGTGTACATGACGCGGGATTTGAACTTGGATCTTGTGATATTAAAATAGTGGCTCCACCATTTGCGCCACGAATACCCCACTTATGAATATTATTTCGTACTATATAGAGGACTGTATTTTGTTAATCATATTTAGATCGGTACGTAAATTTAATTTGCATGGAAGTGCATCAACACATTGCTTTTAAATAACATTTAGCATATAATTAATTGCTGTTATTTCAACATTGCATCAATAAATTTCATTTCATTATTATTATTATTAATACTGGAGTATTGGTGGTAGTTGGCTGGAGTGTTCATAGTATAGTAGTAGTAGAAGGTTTGGCCTCGCAATCAGAGGATTGATGTTCAAATTCCTGGTATCAAGCAGTAGTGATATTCGTTGTTGCTTAGACTCAAATATATTTCCGAAGAAAATATTCTTTCAGGGCATAGCTACATTATATCACTTTGCAAACAAAAAAGAAGTCTTTGTATGTTTACTTCATTTCCAATTTTTGTACATATACCTATCAGATAACGTTTTGACGTAGGCAGAACTATAGTAACTAATTACAATATTGAGACAATTTACTGATTTTTACAATATTTAATGAAAATACGTTTACGTAAACAGCAATATAGAAATGTTCTCGTTTATATTGTATTTTTATTTATTATATGCTATGGTTCGAAAGACCTATCCGCCTCCTGATAGAAAAATATATTACTACATCATATTATTACATGGCAAAGAAAAACTAAAGGTGTTTATTTTAAATAATTTCGATTATATATTATAGGTATACAATATACACACATCATACATTTTATAATAGACATAAAATACATGTAACATACGTAAAACAACGTACATAAGATTACATATATAAAATATTGCATGAACGAAAATGATGCAATTGTTAATCTCTAATATAAAGAATATTTCAAAACTGGTATAAAAACTTGCCTATAAAATAAATTAGTATATTTATTATAAAATTGTACAAAAAATAATTTCAAAATGTGAATAATGATATCTAAATATACATATTTTTTAAAAATAATTGGAGATGTAAATATGTTGTGAAAAGTTTAAGTACAAAGTATTTTTTTCTATATCACAGTAGTTCTATATATAAAAATATATTATATTCAAGCAATAATTAAAAATAACTTCATGAAACTTTCAGATATAAAATATTAAAAAATAATGGTGATAAATTAACTTGTCAACTTATATTCTACAATTTTCAGTATTAAACCAAGACCTAAATTTAGGATTTAGCAATTGCTACATTTGCGACTGAAAGTGGCGCACAATAACAAGTGATGTTAATGCAAAACTTAGAAAATAATGTAAAATTGTGATGTAATATTCACAATTAATAATTTATAATATCAATTTATCAGTTAATAATAATGGTTATAACGTATAATAAATATTGGGCACACAGGTACATTCAGAATGTTTACATAATACATTGACAAATACTATTAGGGGTTAATTTGTTTGTAATTATTTTCTATGCATGTTAGTTTATGTAATGCAAATACATGAAATATTTCGAAATAATTGATTTATAAAAATTTATAAATCAATTTTAGTTTTCTAAATAGTAAAATTATACTGTAGGAAAATATGAGTAAGATATCGCATACGAAACTTACAAATATGTATTTTACTTGCATATAAGTAAATGATATAATACATTTTACATGTCGGTTAGAGTAAAACTAACTTGCAATAAATAAAATTATAATTAATTTTTTTTATAAAAAAGCTTGATATAAATACTTTTTGATTCATAGAAATTGAATATAGTAACTCACGTTCAAGAAGTAAATATATACATATATAAAAAATTGAGAGTAGTAGATTTCAATCGATTTTTATATCGCGGCATCCTAAAAAGTAATTTTCATTTAAAATCATATTTTCCATAAATTTCAAGTGAAGTAGAAAAATATGAAGGTTGTATGTACAGTTCAAAATATAAATATTGGACAATTAAACAGATTTAATATAGGACTCACTAGTTGGAGAAAGCTTTTGATTTCAACAATCAAGACAATCAAAAAACTTCTCTTCACTTCATTTAAATATAAATCTATTCCAAATTTGTCTTTCAAAGACTACGAAAAATACTAATAAATAATTTGATAGAGTATTTGGGTGAACTCAATTCTACAATATGAAAAACCAAAGGAAAATCTGCTTCATTTCCTCAATTTTGCTTGATATCGTGCTAGCTAACGTTACTATCAACAATACAGTTCGTCAATAAATATGATTTTTTATGAATACATAACTAAAATGATGGTATCCAGTACAATTCAATTTATAGCAAAATATCTCCTAAGCTATGTCACCTAGTTGGTTGAAGTTCCTCCTTCCTGGGCCGAAGAATGAAGTTCAAGTTGTATGCTGTATTTACAGCATAGTAAACATTAGCATTTTGAGGAAGAACCATTTCTGAAAAAAAAATCATATAAATCAAAGAATCTTTTATCATTTATGCTCAGGTGTGATAGTTAAATGTATTTTTTTTCGTAAAAGTTAAATACATCAACATTCCTGACCTGCATAAACTGTAATCTCTATGAATTTGATAATAGCAAAAATTTGAGTCCAGTTGAATTTGATAATAGCAACAATGTATAGAATCATTTGCTACCATGAATATTTTAAGTATAATGTAGTTATCAAAATATATTCTCACCTCGGTCAGGCAATACTTGTGCAAGTGTATATTTACTAGGATCACCTTCTAAATTAAGTTTTAACATAGCATTTCTAATAACTTGTGGTGTGCGTTCGCTATTACTTAACATTATACTTTTGTAGAGAACTATTCCTTCCGTCTCGCGGCTTTCAGTCTCGTATGTGACCTTAAATAAAATCAAAATAAAGAAGGATAAGAAACATTTATCTATTTGATTATACTTATTGCAAAAATATAAATTAAATTTCAAACAATAATTCATTAAATTTGAATATCGGTATTGTAAGAACAATCAAAGTTAACAAAAACATCTCTAATGATAATCAGGTTAAAATCTACATTAATAATGTAGTATAATAATAATAAGTTTTTTTTTTAAATTACTTAGCAAGTAGCTATACACACAGTACATTCATCTACTTTAATAGGTAAATTTGATTTGACTGCGTATGAAGGATTGCTATCCTGCGATAGCACCTTCCCAGATAGTATGTGGTTTGATGTAGTAAATCATTATAAATAGTGACAATTAAAATTTAGAGTGAATTTTATTTACTTTAATAATATAAAAATCAGGTCCAGTTGAGTTGAGTTGCGGTGATGTTCCATTTTGTTTAAGAGTGTTGTGCTTTTGCTGAAAAGCACCGCTTCCAGCACTTGATAAGGAAACGTCCAGGGATGGAAGGCTGGAACTGCTGGAGGCAGCTGACATTCCTGAAAGAAAAAAAAACATATTTTCATCATTTACGTTTTTTTAATGAATTAAACGTTTAATGTGTTCCAAAAATAAAATTATTGCAATTAACTTTATCCACTCACCGGGTGGAGATACCCCTCTATCCAAACTATTATTTCTAGAATTTGGAGCACTATTAGCAATTTCGTAGTAGAATTGTGACCCACCGCTACTAGATGTGCTCGTTATAGAATCATTTTTCTTGTGACCCTGTAAAAAATAAAATAACATATTTTACCATATTTATACTGACAAAAGTTTTGTATGATAAAAAATTATGTAAAAAAATCTATAGTTTTATTTATTTTACAAATTAATATGAACCCAAATAATTTTTTTCTCTTAAATATTTTCAAACACAAAAACATGATATTTTAAAACAAAAATTTCAAAATTTAAAATACACACACCTATATTACTATTGATTAGAATAATTAGTATTGATCCAGGAATAGCAGTAAAAACTAAAGTAATTAGTTAAGAGCAATAATATAGACGTATTGACCATATAAATAGAGTGAATTTAATTTATCGTTATCCAAAAAAGAACAATATTTAAGCCATCTACGCAAAAAATAGACTAGTATTAATTAACTCTCATGTACTCTATTGAGCAATAATTGAACAATCATTAAATGATTAGTACTCGAAAGTCGATTTGAATGAGCGTAATTTGTTACAAGCATTTAGCCACCTACAACGATTACATAACTATTATCTACTACTACAATTCTACTTCATTCTTCAGTTTTTTATACTATATTATTTTAGCATAAATCTTATTTTTCTTATACTATATTCTTTTCTTTCATCTTATCTTTTTCATATGAATCCAATTCTTCTTCATAGTTTTCTCAACTTATCTTCATCTTCTTACTTCTCCTACTGTTTCATTTCATTTTAATTCTAATTCAACTTCCATACATTCTAATATCTTACACATTCTAATCATTTCTTTACATATATGTTGCAATTGAAATTCTTATACATTCTGATATTTTATATATATCACATTTGGAATCACCAGGAATCGAACCAACGATCTCCGGTGAGAAGGACATGCTACATCCTCCACTAATTTGTTTTAAAATTAAAAATATCAAGTAAAAACATAAAATTATGGTAGGTTTAAAATAAAGCTATTAAGGTATTCATTCCTTCATTAGATACTAAAACATTTTACTTTTTGGAGCGCTTGTGTGCCTGGTCCATTTATGTTATCACAATATATTTCAGTTACTACTATGCATTTGGATTAAGAATAATAAGAATAATTCTAATCCAGTTATCAACATGCTGTAGGGTAAGTTATAGTAATCGCAAAAAAATCGAAAATGAAATTTTTTGCATATCTTTACGTTTCAAAGGTTTCCACCTTTTGACATACCTTAGAAAAAATTGAGGTATGTGTGTGTATGTTTGGATACAATGATAAATTACCTGTGGTGGTTTTTTGTTGACTTTTCCATTATCAGCATTAGGCTGAACTTGACAAGACAAACTATAAGCCTGTCGGTCATCTAAGACTAGTAGTGAGTCGAACCATCGATCAAATAATGGATCAATAGAAAGATTGTAAGCATTCGCCGCTCCTTGAAGAAGTTTTATTTGAGCCAGGACTTCGAACTCTTTCCGTCTCTTATCAAAATTAATTAGTCCTTCTGCTACAGTATCAGGTATTGCTGTGTCAATCATTGTCAAGTCAGTTAAAAAAGTCCCTAAATAAGGTATCGTTCCGTGGCTTATGCTGGAACAGTAGTTGTTTTGCTTTTGGAAAACCTGTAAAATTAATTTCCAGATTGAAGGAAATGATATCTACAAAAATCAAAGTGTTACTTTTGACAATAATAAGAAATTAGTTATAAAATCAAATTAAAAAATAATATTATTACAAACTACCTTTTGCAAATGTCTGTCATGTTCTCCAGCAGTGTCTGCAAATTTAGCGGTGCCTTCCCTCATAAGAAGTTCACGTTGTGCCCATTGATTATTGTCTTCACTAAAAATTCTTGCTAATTCACTAAATAGTTCTAATTTATCACGAGCTACTGCTGACCAAACTCTTTGCAATCGGTATATAGGATTGCTTTGAAGTCCTGAAATAATAATCATACAGCTTCATTCCATAATTTAGCAAACATTAAATGAATATTTTTTAAAATACCTATGAAATACAATTAATATGGATTTGATGCGTATAAAATTTGCGTAAAATTTTATAAAAATTCACATACCGCATATGATAGCTTTAAGTGATGAAAAATTCTTCAAAATTCGCAGTTCTTGTGCAATATCGATCCAGGTGCCAATGATTGCAGCTCTTTCATTTGGCTTAAGTCCTGGCTCTACTAAAATACTTGATATTACCCTGCAGATTTTAAAAAATAGATTTAGATAGTTTTCATAGATAACAATGGTTGCCAACAATTATAAAAGCAATATTGACGTCCATCCTAACCAACTAGCAAATCATGTATACCTGGAAGGCCAGTGGACCAGGCTTAAAAGAAAAATACCTGGAGACGTAATATAGTATATTTAACTATAATACTTTAATTTTACTATATTTTATTAACATTTTTCTTTTGTTTCTAGTTTTTTTTATTATTATGTTTTAATTAGCCCTAGTAGATACGCCACTGGGAGTATCTACTAATTTGTAATCATCTTATTTTAACATACTTGTCAGCATTCTTTGCATAATGTAATGAATTATACAGATTGCAAGATGAAACTGAATATAAAGAAGATAGTTCTCACAAATCAGTTCACAAAAAGAGATAAGTAATCGATATAAGTATTTTGATAAAAAGTGATGACACTGACTAATCTACTTATTTGCCTATGGATAGAGCATATTTTTTGGCTGGCGTTTTTAATACTAAATCATAGTAATATCTATAATATTGACATTATGAAGTTTTTATTGTTATAATTACCTTAATGAAACAGCATTGAATTGGTTGACTGTTGCTAATACTGTTGCGGCTTCATGCTGCCTGTCTTTATCTCTTCTACTCCAGACTGCTCCTAAGCACTGATGCGGGACTAATTTCTTAAAGAGTTGCTAAAAAAAATAATTTTAACTGTAAATTTAACCTAATAAATATGAGTTACCAAATCAACTTAAAATTCAATTATTATTACCATATCCATTCTAGTCAGCTGTTCCGCAAAATGCTTCTCAGGTACATTGGGAAATCTATATCCCTGCATCGTATGCAGAGGCGTCCTCATTCCTGGTGCCAGGCATATTCCAGCAATGTCCAAATCTAGCCCTGCCACTTCTGGGCTAAATTCGTGAACGAAATGGCTTCTATGGTCTGGAACATATGTATCCGGCAAATATGTGGTCATAGGTGGCGATTTTACTCCGAAAGTGAAATTTTCCATCCCCAGTTGAGCATAATTTCTTGTAGAATACACTAGTGATCCGTTGTCTACTACAGTCTGCGATTCTCCAAAATTTTGGCAGCTGTGATTTTTTGGAATAGCGGCATAAAGTAAGTTTTCTACGGATCCGCTTTTTAAACCGATTTTGTTGACCCGATGTGAAATTTTTGCATGCAAATCCGAATGGGGTAAGTAATGGGTTGTGAATTGGAGCAAATGAGAGAGACATGGTGATAGAGTTTCGTTTGCGGATTTGAAGTCTTCGGGATAACTGTCTAGCCAGACATGGAGTGCTGATATTAAAGTTCTGGAATAAAAAGATAAATAATCTCTGATTAGATATATACTTAAACCGTACTTAACTATTGTTAAATAAGATATGGAAAAATTGAACTGCTTCAAATATTCAACACACAAATTTATTAACTTCCCATAGGGCAAGTTATAGTAATCGCAAAAAATCGAAAATGAAAATTTTTATATATCTTTACATTTCAAAGGTTTCTAAACATTTTGTGATACCTTAGAAAAAATGGATGTGTGTGTATGTGTGTACTCTCAATAAAAATAAGTTTAAAAAATGTCATATGGTGGTCAAAACTGTTTATTGGACCTATGCACATCAAATTATCAGATATTTTATAGAGATTTTTATAGTGTGTACACACTTTGTTTAAATTTTTTTGGGTTCCGTGCCAAGATTTTTAAAAACGGTACGGGAAGTTCCAGCAATTTGCCTTAAGGCACGATGCCATGCACCCCACTAGTTTAAAATTATTAGTTATAATTGAAGATGAATGCATAAAATTATTTCTAACAATGATCGTATTAGTTCTTCCATTTATTTCATATATCAGCTATCAAATTAGAATAATATAAAGATTTTATATGTTTTTTATAAAAATAACCATAATAATATAATTTGAAATGTTTTATGTAAATGCAAGTAATTACGCGTTCTGTTTGGCTTTGGAAAAAAATATAATTTCAAAATTAGATCCGTGACTACTTACTTTCTATGTTGTTCGCTCTCCGTTAAATTATCTTCTAAATACTTGTAGCGTTCTGTCAGTAGTTCCAAAACTTGCAATGTCGTTGCAAACGCTCTGAAAAAAGAAATTATTACGTCAATTATTATATCATAGATTTCATTAAATTTGCCTTCAAAAAAACTTCAATTTTTTTTGAATGCGTTATATATAAATGAATACAGAAACAACTAGATGTGGTTTATCTAAATTTAAGTAATCGTGATAGTTATAGTTTTATCATTTTACCTATAAGTGGCCAGAAACACATTGACATATGTGCTTTCTAATTCTCCATCATCTGTAGCCAAAGCTTCCACCAATCTCGCCAATGTACCAGCTTTGACGAATCGGACCCGAACTGTTTCCCATTCCAGGTGTGAAATTTCGTCCTCAGAGTCCTGAAAAAACACAAAAAATTTAATAACATTTAAAAAAAAACTAATAACATTTTAAAAAAAATTAATAACATTTTTTAAAAAATAATTTTTAAAGGCAAAGGGGAAATAATAATTATAAATAATAAATATAATTGCAATGAGATGGTTAATGGAACGAATTGAACAAGAATAATACTACGAATGAAATAACCAATTGAAATAAAATTAGAAATCAAAGTAGAATGTATAAAGAAACAAACTAAAATAAATTTTCTAAGTGCTAAGTATTATCATTATTAACAATTACTAATTTAGGTATTATCAATTTTCAGAAATATATTGAATTTGAAGCAAATATATAGAATTCGATAATATTTAATACTATTGATATCCTCGAAATAACTATTTTATTTTCAAAATCGTATCTAATTTTTTTCAAACAATCACGAAGAAATACCTCCTTCCCTTATTAATTTTTCGTAGGGTAAGTTATAGTAATGGGATAAAAATCGAAAATGAAAATATTTGTTATTCATTTTTAATCCGCTTTGTCAATTTATTTTTTATAAAATAAGAATAATGAAAATTGCAATATTTATAATAATCTATTTGAAAACATTTAATATTCCTCAAATGTTTCATTGAGGTACGGGAAGTTCCTGCAATTGGCCTCAAGGCATGATGCCATACACCTGTCTTTACCTAGTTTATTTTATTTTTTGTTTGTTTTAATATTAAAATCAATTATATCAATAGAAGCTCATAAATTTTAATATTGATATGTTTTAAATTGGAACCGATTCCACATCCTCTGTTTTGCGAATTCACTGAAATATTTCAACAACGTAAATACTGCTATTGCAAGACATTTTCCTGTTCTAAATTTACAATTTATCCAGAGACGAAGTGCATTCTAGCAGAATAAACAATATACAAAGAATATTTTCGAAATTGTGTTGAAGAATGTCGAATATGTAAACACATGCTAAAAACATTGGAACGGGCTTAAAATAAACCAACGCTAGAAATAACGAATTTTATGTATAAAGATTTAGTAAGCAGTTTTTTTATAAATTATTTAAACTTAAAATTCTTGAAAACTTGCTTAATTAAACTTATTTACACAAAAATCCTCACACCAAAATAAAAGCTCAACTTACTTTTGTTGCAGAAATAATGGAAGGATATAGGGTTCGATATCGTGTTTATAGAATTTTTCGATGTTCGAAATGTTTCTAAACCATTTAGCAAAAAATTACAGATGTAGACGTGTGTTTGTAATTAAAATCAAGTCTGATCTCATAGTCTTCAAGTAAGAATAATTAAATAATAATATATTAGGACAAGTAGTAATAAATTTTCGAGTGCACTTAGCAGACGAACTACTAATAAATACGATGACAGGATATTTTTCTCACACGCTGTGAGAGTTTTTAAAAATAGAATATTTTTCCAAGTAAATCAAATTTAGTTTACGGTTAAATCAGATAAAATTTATATTATGCGTTGCATTAAAAATTGCATCATACTTGTTATATAACGTTGCTTAGCGAGTTCTTGTATGGCATTGACCAGAATAATATTTGATACGAGTTCATCTTCGCGTGCATCATAATTTATCTCACCTCGAATACTGCACTTAGGTATAAAAGAATGGAAAATATAAATATAAGAAGTAATTAAGTAGTCATTGTGTGAAAATTTCAGGACTACTGTATTATCATTATTTTCAATTTATATCATATGAAAAATTAATTCATATATGGATTCAAAGATATCGCAATTTTTTCCATCTTATCGCAGAATTAAACGATTAATTGTTTGTAGAATCCAATTTTCCATGTGTAGAATATGATATCACCACCCGTATATTTGGTCAGCTCCAAGTTTAATATTACCTGGAAATTAACTCTTATTCGAATGTGATTTTTTGTGTTTGCCATTGTTATAACTAAACTATGACTTTATCAAACATGTTTTTGAATTTGTATGTACAAATTAATATATTATTTTGTACAGAGTTTGATAGAAAGTCTATCTTTGATTTTCTTTAATATTATATTGATTCTATTGTTAATTTTATATTCTGAATAATAAGTTTTTTTTACAATTTACAATTAAATATATTATCAATTATAACAGAACATTACGTGATATTGAATTAATTTTTCAAAATCGATTTCAAATAATTTAAAATTTATCCGAAAGAATCTGACCAGAATTGGTTAATTCTGGTAAAAATCTATTAATTGAATGTTTGAATTTCCGACTAATTAAAATTTCCTAAAAATTTTAAATACTTTTGAATTATCATAAACATCAACTACATCAATCTACATAATTACCTATATAATGATAGAAATATAATTAACTTGCCTAATTTCCTTCATTATCAAGAAGTTGAACATTTTTAAGTGAAAATCGGTCAACCGAACTCAGAACTTATATGGCAGTTGTTAATTACATCTTTCTTGAACTGCCAAGATGTTTTTTTTATTAAATTAACCGATTACTATTAGACTGTTTAAAAACATATTGAGCTCATGCAATTTGTCTCAGAACTTAATTACTCCTTATTTAATTTATGGCCTGCAGACAGTACAATAATGTGCTTGATTTCACCGCACTGTTGTGATATTTGCGCCTCATTATTAGACGATTTTACAGATCATTAAAATTTAAATAAACATGAAACATGGTCTTTGTAATTATGTGAAATCGATACAATTACGTTAAAAATAAATATTATAATAAAAACTTGATACTTACACTAGATGCACTCGGTGTAGGTCTATGATAACGCACTTTTTTCAGGTACACGGTGTAAATAGCACCTTCCACACGCTCTTCGCCCCATAAACGCCAAGTAGGCTGCTGGAACAAAGGTCCAAGGTTAAAAATCGTTTATAAATTGCAACATTATTTTTATTTATTAGATAGATCATACTTATATAATTTGTAATTTGTATTAGCATAAACATATGTATACAAAAGGGAATGGAATAACATTTTTTTTTATTATTATTATTCAATAGACAATCAGAATACATTGTTTCTATAAGCCTATGTGATGATGTAATATATGGCGTTTAGAGGAATCCTCTGCTAGAATTTGCCTATAGCTGTCTATATACAATTTAATATTGTTACAAATATAATTGAAGCAGAATTTTACTCGATAGCTTTATTTGACTCCAGTAATAATTATTTTCAAAGCAACATCACACTTTCTTGCATTTCTAGAAGATTTGGGAAATTGTTAAGTAAATTCCGAGACAAGTTTTCGGAATTTATTTTGATATTTTGATTGAAGCCAAGTCGTAAAAGTTGGCCGCCACGGAGACTTTTCTAATATTTTTTTTATTTTTTTCGATCAATTTTAATTTTTTAATTTTATTACAATGGGTATATAAAAAACACATATCAACCTCCTACCACAAACCCCTATTTCGTAATAATTATTTACAAGATTTAATAGTAATTATATCATTTTTTCTAAACCAAGCGTCCGATCCTCGTGATAATTTGGTCAATTTTCGGATATTTTGATTTAAGCCAATTGATAGGGGTTAGCCGGCCCGAAAACATTTTAACATTTTTTTATTTTTTTAGGTCAATTTTCGGTCCACTAATAAAATAATATTGAATTTATATTATAACAATTTTACTTGCAAAATACCTACTTAGCACTCATTGAGTTATATTTCAACAAATTTACATTATTGAATTACATTACATGTATCGAATTGCGTGATGTTAAATGATTATGAAATTATTTCTAATAATTTATTACATTTGCAATTTGAGTATATAGGAAAATATGTTATCAATTTTATATTATTACCTGGTAAGTTTATATTTCTAATAAAGAATAAATTTAATCATTATAGTTTGTGTCCAATAGCGTTTAAATTTTTTGCTAGCATTGGAAGATAAAATTATTTATTATGGCATTAATTATTTAACTAATAAAACACGGAGTTGTAGAATAAGTGCAAAACTAATTAGCAGCCTAATTTAATTTTATTTGTAATTTTGATATGATTTGGTTATATTTAACTGAACGTAAACATTTCAGATCATGAAAAGTGACCATCTTTAGCTCAAAGTCCAGATGACATTTTTTTAACTCAGGAAAAACAGCTGTTAAAGATTGGCAAAAATTAATAAAAAATAATTATAGTATATTAACTATATATATATATATATTATATTAACTACATACATATATTATATATATATATATTATATATAATAAGGATTTTATGGAATTTTGATGATGTCTCAACTGACTTGATACGTTTTCATGTCTCTGCAGACTAGACATTCAATTATAAGAGCGCATATCAAAAATAAACTGCTCTTCAATAAATCGAAATTCAATTTAGCTTGCGTCTGTACAGACATTTTCCACAAAGGCTTTGATACAGGTAATACAATTTTCACTGAACAGAAATATTGATTAAAAAACATAATTACCTTATTATAAAACATATAAAATTTACCCTGAACGTGGCTTTGACCACAACACTTTACTAAAAGAATTTGGTATTCCTTCCCTTGCCTCACGTCGATTTATCTGTACAATTATGTTCTTATTTAAGCTTTGCAATAATTCTATAGACTGTCCTCTTATTCTCAATCAACTATCCTTTAATGTTCCAAGGCTATCTTCGCGTTCACAATTATTTTTATTCTACTAATAGAGAATATGCAATTATCCTACCCCTAAATCTAATTCTCTCTTAAATTCGCCTATTTTACTTATGTCCTCTAACTTTAACTTAATTAATAATGAAATATACATTCACAACACTTCACCTAATCAAATAATCTCCATCTGCACAAGTTAATCTTTTTATTTTCTTTCAAATATCTCATTATTTTCTGTTTATAAATATTATTGTTACATTCTGCATTATATGAAATTTTATCTTAGCATTTTATGTTACTAACTATATATTGTAATTTTGTATATATTTTAATTGTTATTCATTATGTCAAATAATTGTATTTTTGAGTCCTCTTGGAGAAATCTGTGGGCTATATATTCAAATAAATAAATAAATAAATAAATAAATAATGAAAACTTAGATGCAATATTATGTATGATACTAGTTTGAACCATTAGATAGTTTTTAGTTTAATACCATCAGTTCTTTTGATTTTTTTAGAATATTTTTGCTGTTAAAGATATTTTTATTCTACTAATAGAGAATATGCAAGTACTGCAATACATCTCATTCCCAAAGAATGAATATAAAGAAATATTATATGTATATATGTGTATATGAGTATGTATTTGCAAATAATATTCTACTTATAATAATTCAATTACATCTACCATAACTGAAGTCGACGAGTTGATTAATGGCAAATGAAAAAAAAACATTAATTGACATCATTAGAACATAATTAATGTTTAACGAAGAAGATTTAATTTAGAACTCAATTACCTCCTATTAGAGACATATTGTAGTGCGCCCATGTAGTATAAATGAATTTTCAAAACATCTGTTATAAAATAAAATTTATAGAAAATTTCCAAAAATTGTAAAGATAAATAAATATTTTTGACATTTAAAAAAAATTTGAAATATCGATAAATTCTAAAAAAAATTCCAAAATTAATAAATAAAATTATTGAAAAAGAACACTACTATGAAAATATTAAAAAAAAATATTTTTAATTTTACGTTTTCTTGAATATTTTTTGAATTTAAATCATTTTAAATTTAGAAGTATGTAAACAAAATGAGAGTACAATTTTTTAAACTACTAAACAAAATAAAAATTTCACTTGAATGAACTGAAAAAAAATATTTTACATTATTGAATTTCATATAATTTACCATAATAGAAATAAAAAAATTCAGAACTGAATTTTAGCCCCATGGAATTTAAGTCTATATCTAACATAGTGCTTTTTAGAGTCAGACTCAGTTGCTTTAGCATTATTTCAAAAGCTTTTAATGCATACAATACAGCTTCTTTTGAAAAAGAGAAAATCTGAAAACTGGGACTTACGAAGTCGAATGTACAGAACGATTTTCCATAGAAAGTTTAAATTAAATTTTTTGTTTGCAGAGATGCTCTAAGTAATGATATTATCGATACATAATTAAATTCGCAGCCTATATGTTCCTCTTTGACCTATTTAGAGTCGATGTATATATGTTCACAGTCTGTGAAGCTTGAAGTCAATAGAAAAGTTCATTGAAGCTTGAAAATTGGCGTTTGATGTAGAAAACTGCGACTAATTCAACCGTTAAATCAAAACTCAGTACATAATGTCCCATGATAATGTTGTAATATTGTTAGTTAATGCACGGTTGAACTTTGAAGACACAAAATTAAATTTGCATTATTAATATTAATCCAGGAAACCATGGCAAATGTGGGATTTTGTGCTTCTTGCATGAAATTTATGTACATATATCATAATTTGAAAAATTCAAAAAATGAGAATTTTAATATTTATGTAATTGAATTTCTGCTGTATAAGTCATAATATGAAAAGTAAACCATAGTTTCTTTTAATATTTAAGTTTCAAGGTCTTGTGATCATTCTGATGTACTCTAGAGCTTAGACATAATGAATGTTGAATAATGGATGTGTGATGTACATGTATATTCTTGAAGTCGTTTTGGAAAAAGCGGAACCACCAATTCAAAAAATATTGGGCTCGTATAAAAGATGAGATAAGTCATAATATTTATGATCTAGAAAAACTTATTCTTAAAATGATTCGAAATGTTAGGAACTTTTAACAATCGTTTCCTATGCCTCAAGACAATGTAGCATCTATGCGTCAGTGCACACCTTATGTTTCTTGTTGCATGAAGATAATTTAACAGTTACCATATTCATGTTCCAAGCAGTGATTTATTTTGCGTCTTACTTTTAGGTATTTTTATGAGCTTTATCGAATTTTCAAGAAAAAATGTTATATGTCCAATAGTATTTACCATCCAAATCAATACATACAACAGCATGAGTTAAAAATTTTTAACAATTAGGTTAAAAAATGGTCATCTAATGTGACATAGAAGTTTTTAATAAAATCAATGATTAACTCATTATCTTACACGTGGCTTAAAATCCTGATTAACTTTTTAGATAACTAAAAAAATCATAATACTTTTTGAGGGCCCAATTGTATAAAAAAGCCCACTCCCAAGGGCTTTATTTGAAATATAGAGAGATTCGATACTACGGCGAGAGCAGCAAAGACTTTGAGGCGGACGTACTCTCAAACTATTAATTTTACAAAAAACGGTTTTCTGAAGAATTGTAGGAAGTTTTATCTAGTTTATTTCGTACATAGCTGCTTTTATCGTAGAAAGGAGATATTTTAAAAAAACGCCATTTTTCCAATATGGCAACTAATCGCCGTAAAAATTTGAGGTGGCAAAGTTGATTTTCGTAAAAAGCACCTGGAAATCTATAAGTTTACTTATTTTCAGAATTCCCCGAGTACTGTACCGGCAACAGCCTTTTTTGCATCAAATGACTGTAGTATTATCCTTAACGTTAAATAAAATTAAATAATTTAGTATCTCATTAGTTTGATCAGATTGTTTTAAAGTTAAAATTACTCTGTATATCAACACGTGAATAGACTGAATATATTGAATATAAAAAAACACTGACCAAAAAACAGTTCAGTATAATGCAAAAATAATATTCGTATACTGGTAGGGTTGTGATTAATATAATCAAAGGTGGAAGAGAAAAAATTAAGTTCTGTAACTTACATTTAATAGCAAATATACTAATTAAATGTCTTCCAATTAATTATTAAGATGCAAATTCTAATCAAAATGTCTGTTTATTATTCATAAAAGATAATAATTGCAAACTAACTGTTATG